CGCATATTAATTTTCAAATGCTCTCCAGTAAGTGAGCCAGCGTGCAGATTAGTCAAAAAAGCGGGTGACTGCGTGAATTTTGACTAATCTGGGGCAGATTCAAGCCATTTGATTGGTCAATTCGCATTTTGACTAAAGTTTGCGGGGGGTTGACTAAATTGCGTAATATTCTTGCGTTCTGATTGGCTGTCTAAAGAAAACTTCTGGCTTCTGATTGGCTTGATGCGTTTGACTAGTTCGCTGCGTGGGGTAATCTAGTCAACTTCAGTCAATAGAAATGATAATAACATTTTAGTTAGCAAAGTTTCAAAATTTGCTGAAGATTTTTTATCGAATACTATCGCTCATGCGAATTGATAATGCCAGTCTACGAGTACGAGACAATCAGGTCTGCGATTCGATTCGCAAAAGGCAGATCTTTCGAAAGAAATTCACGCGGCAAATGCAAAATCAGTCGAAGAGCTTCTTGCCGCTATTTACGACACAAACAATATGCTGCCGAGAAATTTCCCTTCTTCGTAAGAAGTGTACAGCATTAAGGTCAATAATTCTGCTGATTTTCATACAAGCAATATATTACAATAATAATGAACTCAATACGTTTTGTGGCACTATAAATGTATGAGCCAGGTTTGCTATTGTATTTGCATATAATAGCGGTTCCCGGTCAGACCGAAAGGTCATTTAGAACTGATTTTAATTTCATATAATGTAATATTTACATCAACCGAAGCTTTCCTGTCAGCATTTTTATCAAACAAACCAGTTTAGCACACAGATTTACAAATTTCTTTGCTGAAACATGAACGTCGGGGTTTAAAGCTTATAAAAGCATAGTTTGTCGTATAGTGTGGTGTAATATGATCTCTAATATGTATTATGATCAATTTTGTTTTAAAAATAAAATGCGCACCCCTCCCCCCCCCACGAATCGTTCCGAAAAAATAATCGGGAGAAATGTACCTGCGGTAGTCGGACCGAAAATTTTTGACTAGGGTAAGAAAATTCCTAGATCCGCCCCTGATTTTAATCTCAAAGGGGGCAGGGGGGCACTGCCCCTCTCTAGGGCCAAAGGGTTTTTTTGGTACGATAAAACACTTTCAAGATATAGGCTTTGTGATTTAAAAGTTTTAAGGCCCAATTTCTATTAAACGGAAAAGGACAAGATGATGATGATGATGATTTAAAAGTTTAGAAGACACGCAAAAACATTTTTTCGACAAACTGCCTACTTAGCTGCGATAAGAAAAAAGGAAGTCGTAACAACATGTTCAACACTTTTCACAAACGCTCAGCCAAACATGTAAGAAACATTTTGCTGTGATGAAACAGAGATTTGGCATAACGTATTATCATAACGGAAGAAAATATCCCTTTTCCCGTGAGTAGGTACAACGAGAATTGCGTAAAATTAACCTTAATAAAGCACCTGGTCCTTATGATCCCTCTCTGAAGATCTTGAAGATTTTTACAAAATATTTTGCTGTACCTTTGACCGAAATCTTCAATGAATCTTTTCAATCAAAAATTTTTCCTGAGATCTGGAAAAAATATAAGGTATCTGGAATCCCTAAATCTGTACCATGTACGCATGTTGAAGAGTTAAGACCAATTGCTTTAACTAGTGTCCTAGCAAAGGTTCAAGAATCTTTTGCTGTTCAGTGGATATATGAAGATACCGATGAAAAAATTTCTGATTCTCAATATGGGGGTCTACCACGATCATCGACAATTAATGCGCTGGTTAATTTAATACACAAGTGGCATAAATCATTGGATGAACTGCACAGAGTGATAAGAATAGTCTTTTTGGATTTCCGAAAGGCATTTGACCTTATCGATCATAATAAACTCTTAGAAAACATGCGAGAAATTGGTGTAAGACCTGCTCTGATCAAATGGTATGCATCGTACCTGGACGAGAGATCTCATTTTACACAGTTTGGAAACGGAGTATCTGATTTTGCGAATGTTATGGGAGGCGTTCCGCAAGGCAGTAAGCTGGGACCTATTGCTTTTGTGGTTAAAATTAATATGTTACCTAGTGTTATAGCAGAAGCTGTTGTAGGTAATGGAAATAATGATGTCGTTGTGGATGAAGATACGATTCTCTTCATGGACGATACAACGATTAGTGAGGCACTGGATGTTCACAATCATATCTCTGGCACGGAAATTGGTAATATACCCCAAAAAATTAATTCGGTAAAGAATTTTGCGGAAATTGAGAGAATGGAGTTAAACCCAAAAAAGTGCAAAAAAGTGATTATCGACTTTCGAAAGGATAGAACAGCTATTCCTGCAACAGAAGTCGATGAATGCATCCTAGAAAGAGTAAGCTCTTATAAATTAATTTTCTTGTATGATTGCATGGCGACTTTAGTAATTATAATAACTTGTAGGTACACCACGTAAGTATTAAATACTGCAAAGCTTTCGGTCCGTTAACCCGGACCTTCATCAGTGCAATTACTTGAATACACGTTTGCGCGTCACTTAAATATCATGTTAGTCGTGATTAGTTTGCTCGCGCTATTAATTAAACGGTTTCATTTAATTAAGTTCTAACTAATGCGCGCGCCCTAGACAAGTATTTGACTAAGAGACACCGAAAAGAGCACGCCACGTACTATTAAGTGGCTTTCCCTCTTGGACGATAGTTTGATGTTTATAAATTTCAATAGATTCTCTCATTATCATTACCATTATCATTATCATTTTAGCAAACGATAAGTTTACTGTCTCTCGTAAAATGAGAGAATCTATTGAAATTTATAAACATCAAACTATCGTCCAAGAGGGAAAGCCACTTAATAGTACGTGGCGTGCTCTTTTCGGTGTCTCTTAGTCAAATACTTGTCTAGGGCGCGCGCATTAGTTAGAACTTAATTAAATGAAACCGTTTAATTAATAGCGCGAGCAAACTAATCACGACTAACATGATATTTAAGTGACGCGCAAACGTGTATTCAAGTAATTGCACTGATGAAGGTCCGGGTTAACGGACCGAAAGCTTTGCAGTATTTAATACTTACGTGGTGTACCTACAAGTTCTTATAAATTACTTGGATTGTGGTTAGACGATGATCTAAAATGGAGAACAAATACGGAATACATTGTCAAAAAGGCAGCTAAACGATTATATCTTTTAAAAATTTTAAAAGGATATAATGCTCCGCGAGATGACTTGAAAACTATTTATACTTCGGCAATTCGATCAATCGTAGAATATGGAGCTCAAATTTGGCATGGGAGTTTGACAGAGGAACAATCTAGGGATATAGAGAGAATTCAAAAGCGTGCAATGAAAATTATATGCCCGGAAAAGAATTATGAACAAGCATTAACTGAATGTGGTATTAAAACTTTGGAAAGTCGAAGAGAGTTAATGTGCCTAAACTTGATAAAGGATATAAAGGACCCTTCACATAAACTCAATGATTTGCTACCACCAACTGTAGGTCAATTACGGGAGAGAGACACGAGACCTAATGTAAATAAAATTCACAATTTTAAATGCAGAACAGAGCGCTTTAGAAATAGTCCTCTAGTATATGCGATTCGTAAGTACAATCTCAAAATTGATGATTCTTAACTATTTTATTAGTTTATTAATATTTAAAATATAGCTTTTGTAATTTACTTCTAGCTTTGTAATATAGATTAGAGTATGAATTATTGTAATTCTAAAATGTAATATTTCTTAAATTATTTTTATGAACCTGTAAATCACATTGTAATTTAGCTGTCTAAGCTACATTTTTATGTGTTTTTTTTAAAAATAAAATAAAATAAAATAAATAAAGAGTAACGTGATTTCACTCTCGATCAATGAAACGCTAGGAACACAAAACTTTGACAGGTGGTATATAATAATGTCTTTGTTCCTAATATGTTGTGATTTATCTCAAGATCGGTTAAAGAGCTTACTTGGTTTTCTTTTCCATCTCTCGTTTACGTTTCGTCTCGTTGGAACTTCGTGGTTCAACACTCCATCATAATATGAGATCAGGAATTATACTACCCTTCGTTGACAATGCAAAACTAGGTTAAACGATAAATATCTGGATTATCCAGTAATTTCTTGAGATCAGACCAAACTATACTTACCCGTTTATCGCTTGACGTTTGGTAAACCAAGTTTCACGACATAATTCTTGAAATTAACTGGTAACGAATCATGCGGTTATTAAGATGCTGTATGATGTCTTTCTGAAAAATTCAGTCCATTACCCCTCCCTTCCCTCTCCTAAAACATGTAACCCTCAGTGTCCCTGTGTATGGTCTGGTCTAAGGGCGGCAACGAATTATATTGAACGCCAATAAAAAAAGAATAGTCTATATTTATCGATTAGTATTTACCAACAAACATTATTCCATTAATTTCCTGCTTATACTGCTAATATCCATCAGTTAAAGTGCCTATACCATGGTTGCAGGTTTTGAATACATTTTTAAAAACTTTCCAATATATTTTGTAATTGAGAAATTTAGTCTTGATGGATTTATCAGCCTTTAAATTTACCGGTCATGAAGAAATTTTTCAATAAAATATATTGCAAACTTTTTTAAAATACCTTAAACTTTTTATATCATTATTCAAAATCCGCAACCTTGGCATAGGCACTTTAGGAATAAAATGTCAAATTGTCAAACCTATTTACACACTTATAATATTGCTTATACATATTCCACCAGACATAACATACATGCAGTATATAGAAATATTACAGATGACAACTGTTATCGACATTGATTTGAATAAAATGTTGATTGTTCAAACTAACATTATAATTATTTCTATAATATCTAGATATCTTATGATATATATATATATATTATTATATATCTTATGATATATATATATATATATATAATATATTATATATATAATATATATATATATATATATATATATATATATATATATATATATATATATATATATATATATATATATATATATATATATATATATATATATATATATATATTCCTGGTACCAAGTATTAATTTCTTTTCAAATCAATTGTCTTTACAGTCTGTTAACATGAATATATGAATACATGAATATGGGCCCAAATTATCGATGTTGGGTACGCCATTGATATTACAAAAGACTTCAGGTTAGATGATTAGGAACAGATTACTGACCATCATGACAAAATATTATCATATTCATGCAAGGGCACACGTATATATTGAGAAAACTTTCAGATGTGAGGTTTCACTACAGCTGTCATCCAACATCTTTTTTCCATCATTGCTGGCAGTTCTTCCCAGCCATTGCCACCGATGGTGAAGGTTTCCACCGAGTTGAGATGATTTTGCTGGTTATTGTATCCACCGAACACGAAAATGACGTCATTCACGATGACAGCTGAGGGGGCGTTCCTTTTGTAAATCATTGATGGCAAGATCTCACTTTGCCCAGTTTCAGTGTGATACATGATTACATCGTTTAATGTCTCATCATTTTTTTGCTTACCACCCACAATGATGATCTTATCACCCCAAGTGACTGTTGACATATTATAGACATGCCGAGGTAACGATGGGCATCGCTCGAACTTATTCCTAATCAAATCATAAGCTACAACACTGTCAAGAGCATTGTTATGGTGGCCACCTGATGACCCGCCCAAAATAAAAATCTTTTCATTAATAAGTTCTGCTTGGTGACTTTGTCTTGCCTCAGTCATTCTTGTCAGCAGCTTTGCAGCGTAAGGTGGGGTAAGAGCAATCTCATAAATGGCATTCGATGTAATTCCTTTATTGATGTCATATCCTCCTATTATATATAATTTTCCTTGATAAACAATGACGTCATGAGCCGATGTTTTGACGGGAAGTTTAGCATCAAATATTGTCCATCGCAAAGGATGTTGGTCTACTTTCAAAACTTCGATCTCGTCAGTATCTTCATTACCGCTGGAACCACCAACGACCAAGACATCATTGTTGTAAACACACGATGCTAATGATACTCGAGGATGATTCAATGGTGGTAGCATAGTAGACCTCTTTTCAACAATATCATACTGTTCAACAGTATTAAAAATGGGGATGTTAGAGACAGGCGGCATCAAACCACCAATAATAATAACAGCTGTATTTGTTTCAGCACCACTTCTGTTGATATTATCTTGTTGAAATAGATGACCCATTAAGCCTTCAAATCTGTCAAACTGCAACTTCATCATCTCAAAAACACCCTGAATTGTAAATTATGTAACAGCATTGGTGCTTGAAAATCTTAACATTAAACTAGTAATTTGTTTATGTTCAAAAAATATACGCGTAAATAATTAAATAAGTACATCACTTCGGCAAATGGGTTTAGGAGTTAATTTCCGGCGAGACTTAGTTTGCAAGACAGAATACATGGAAACAAACTTCATCGCGCTGATGTGCGCGAATTACTGTACTAATTATTATTACTGTACTAAAATTACCAAAATTCGTCTTGAGCAGAACAATTATTTCAGAACAATGATTTTGTCAAATTAACAAAATGGCGGAAAATTATTTGCATACAAACTAAATGATAGCCCCGCATAGGGGAACTAAAAAAGGCCAAAAATGTAAACGAACGTATTGCCAGAAGTACAAAATAAGAGATAAAAGTCTGGCAGGACTGTATTTACATTAGAAAATTGAAATTACGCCCCAGAAAATTGAAATTATGCCCCAGAAAGGTTCGCGATTAAACGGTACGGAACGGTTGTACGATTTTCTGAAGCTAATAATAAACAATTAATCACATTGCTAGTACAATTAGGGATTAATAGTACCCGTGATGTTAAGCCGCGTTTACACTTGATGTCTAGATCTGTTTTGAACCTAGGCCATGTTTAGGTAATATCACTACTAATTTGTGCCTCGTTTACACTGTCTTTCTTGTTGATGATATTGGATAGTTAAAATTATTGACAAATCCAGGCCTGGCCCAGTAAAAAATCTCCATTTTTTATACATTTTTTTGTTTTCAAAAAATCAATCCCAAAACTACGCCAATTTCACCAGGATGCCTCGCTGCATGTGATTAATCGTGGGACAATCGCAACGCGTCTTTTACTATTGAGCGATCATTTCAGGCCATCAAGGTTTTTGTGTCGTGATAACATTACATTGGGACGATATATGGTATTAATGCTTAAAAATCTCAGTAGAAATCCTGTATCAACTCCTATAGTGACTACAGGTAATGAAGATTACATGAAGACTTTGTCATGGTCAGAAATGCAGGTCAATACACGGAGAGTAAAAAAACCTGACACCTTTGAAATTCAAATTAGCCGTGAACTTATGGCTGGAATTTAACAATTCCCTCGTTAATTAATGCGAAAGTTTTTAAACCAATAGAAAAATAATTTGATAAAACTGTTCTTTTTTATTTACAGAGCTTAGAATGCATTTTATCTCCCGAAGGGAACAAACTTTATGTTTTAGGTTAATTAATGTGTTCGCTTATTTGATATGCTTAATTTCGTAGACCCATGAGATATTTTAGGTAACTTCTGTCACATTACAGCCGCATGCAGCTAATTTGAATTTTAAAGGTGTCAGTTTTTTTACTCGCCCTGTATGGATGCAAAGCATGCGTAATTTAAAAATTCAATATCGTGTCCCGTATAAGAAATAGTTGCGGCTAAAAGCAGGAACCTATAGTCCGGCTTGTTGTTGTCTAGGTTTGTTAACCACGTCTTTATTATTGTTGTCTAGGTTTGTAACCACGTCTTTATTATTTTCACTTTTTTCTCGATTTTTTTTAAACCTGTTTCAAAATTTCACAAATTCCACAAATGGATAGCCACAGTTGAATACATCAATACAGTAATAACGTAATTTCATAAAAACAATCGCTTCGATGAGCCGTGGGCCGTTTGCGTTTACATTATCGACAATTGGGCAAAAGTGCATTTGTGACAAAAATATTGAGTATTAAACGCAGTGGCATAGCCAGCCTGACGATTTAGTCATGCCATGTAAATTTTATGTTATTATTATTATTCATTTTTTACAGTCAATGAACACCAAAATATTAGCATAGCATGACTGAATTGTCAGGCTGGCAACGTCATTGATTTAACGTGTTTAAAGCACGCGACAGCGTATCTGATGATCAATGACCATCAATTGTAATGTAACAATCTTTTCTTACCTTCATTTCCCCTGCATCCTCGTTTATTCCTTCTTGAGTTTGTTTAATCTCTTCAAGACTTTTCTAAATAACAATATTCGAAGGAGGGTATTAAAACAATCGCCTGTGTTCTTAAGTCTCACTAACGTTCATTTATTATGAATCAGCTTCAAACCGGTTTTTGCACTGTTTGATGTTTTACAGCTTGAATCCTTTAACATTTACTAAGGCTGCGAGAGCCCATAAACTGCGCATGCCTGCTTTAGTAATGCAGCAGTGTACTGAGCAATGTTTACTCCACTTTTACTTTTTTCATACCGAATGATAGAAATATTTTTATCGCCTCATCTTTTATCGCCGCTTTAGTCAATCTAGTTCAGGAAACTATTTGTTTGCTTTCAATTAGCCAAGGTTGTTGCATGCATGCCATTTCTGGCGTTATATGGAAATGGTTATGGAAAAACGATACTCATTGTCCTATGGAACGGGAAAGAGGCATTGTCATCTGGAGAAAGTGATCACCTTTAAGTCATCTTGTCTTGCCTCCATTTTATCTTGTTTTCTTGCCATTTCAAGCATTTCAATTTTCATCTTATCTTGGGACGGTGTTAATTGCTGAACACTTGCCTAAATTACAGTACGATAATTGAAACATTTTCTCTTTGGTGACACGATTCAATTATCCATTTGACTGAAGATATATAATCTCTGAAATGATTATCATAGTTCAAATTTAAAACAGAGAACATATTGGGATTTCAGTGTTGATATACAATATCGAAGCAGAGTCTTGCGAAACCACTTGTTCTTCTTAATTTGGCCTTTGAATTTCCTCTTGGGGGCGCTAGTGAAGCTGTTAGGCTTCCTTATCCAGCCAATGCAATTAATTATATTATCGAGCGACAATTTCAGGTCAAAAGTGTATTTGTGAAAAAATAATAAGTATTAAACGCAGTGGCGTAGCCAGCCTGATGATTTAGTCATGCTATGTAAATTTTATGTTTTTATTATTATTATTTATTTAGAAATTCATTCTTTTCACAGTCAATGAACACCAAAATATTAGCATAGCATGACCGAATTGTAAGGCTGGCAACGTCATTGATTTAACGTGTTTAAAGCACACAACTGATGATCAATGACCATCAATTGAAATGTAACAATCTTTTCTTACCTTCATTTCCCCTACATTCTCGTTAATTCCCTCTTGAGTTTGTTTAATCTCTTCAAGATCTTTCTAAATAACAATATTCGAAGGGGGTATTAAAACAATCGCCTGTGTTCTTAAGTCTCACTAACGTTCATTTATTATGAATCACCTTCAAACCGGGCTTATTTTGCACTGTTTTGATGTTTTAGAGCTTGAATCATTTAACATTTACTAAGGCTGAGAGAGTCCATAAACTGCGCATGACTGCTTTAGTAATGCAGCAGTGTACCGAGCAATGTTTACTACACTTTTACTTTTTTCATACCGAATTACAGAAATATTTTTATCGCCTCATCAGGGTCATTTTAAAGATAGGTTCAGGAAATTATTTGTTTGCTTTGAATTAGCCAAGGTTGTTGCATGCATGTATTTCTGGCGTGGTATGGAAATAGTTATGGAAAAACGATACTCATTGTCCTATGGAACGGGAAAGAGGCATTGTCATCTGGAGAGAGAGATCACCTTTACGTCATCTTGTCTTGCCTCCATTTGATCTTGTTTTCTTGCCATTTCAAGCATTTCAATTTTCATTTTATCTTGGGACGGTGTTAATTGGTGAACACTTGCCTAAATTACAGTACGATAGTTGAAATATTTTCTCATTGGTGACACGATTCAATTATCCATTTGACTGAAGATATATAATCTCTGAAATGATAGTTCAAATTTAAAACAGAGAACATATTGGGATTTCAGTGTTGATATACAATAATTATCGAAACAGAGTCTTGCGAAGCCACTTGTTCTTCTTATTTTGGCCTTTGATTTTCCTCTTGGGGGCGCTAGTGAAGGTGTTAGGCTTCCTTATCCAGCCAATGTAATTAATTATATTATCGAGTGACAATTCCAGGTCAAAAGTGTATATGTGACAAAAATATTAAGTATTAAACGCAGTGGCGTAGCCAGCCTGACGATTTAGTCATGCTATGTAAATTTTATGTTATTATTATTATTCATTTATTTAGAAATTCATTCTTTTCACAGTCAATGAACACCAGAATATTAGCATAGCATGACTGAATTGTCAGGCTGGCAACGCCATTGATTTAACGTGTTTAAGGCACGAAAACCGGACTCAAAAAGGACTTAAAAACTGGCGGCCAATTACCTTCAACCGATTATAACTAGACTGTCAAAGGTACTTCCTAGGTCGCACGATTAACGATAAAGCCAGCTTATAATACAAGATGCAATTTTTTATGCCAATGAAACCGAACAAAAACTACCTATAATAACAATCGATCAATTAATAGCGTTTGACCGAGTAGACCACAGATTTTATTTCGCACACTAGAAAAATTCGGCTTCGGACCACCATTTATCAAGTGGATCAAACTTCTGTATAATTCTGTTTTCAACTCAGAAAAAACAACGGTTGGATGACAGATTTTGTAAATATAGAGCGAGGACTGAGACAGGACTGCCCCTTAAGCATGCCACTGTACATATTGAAGGGCTGAAATTCTAGCAATACATCTGCGCAAAAATGAGAAAGTAAAAGGCCTCCGGCTACCAAATTCAGCAGGGAAAGTCAAATTATCGCAATATGCGGAAAACACAACAATCCTTATGAGCGTGGCTCAGGGGCAAAAATAAACGTAGAAAAATGCAAAGGACTTTGGACGGGACATTTTCGCGACAGAACAGACCAACGTTTCGGCTTTGAATGGTATTACGACTGCATACCTGCATGAAAAACTACTAGGTATCAACTTCGGAAACGTAGATTGTACAAGCCTCAACGTAGATAACAAAATACAAAAACTTGAGGGGATTATCAATGCGGGTCACACCGAGACTTACGCAACAAAGGCAAAGCGCGCTAGTAATAAACGGCCTATACTGACATCATGGGCGGATCTAATGGTTGTCAGATGAGTGACGCGACTAAGTCAAAAATTACACAAGTGCAGGTCGAAATATTTCAACTTCAATCAGTGAAAATAGTCATGCGATAAATTAACAGTCCAGTTAAATGTTATGAAGCTTCATGCAGTTGCTGGTCACAGACTTTTGAGTCCTCGGCAAATGAGTCATAATTGCGATGCCCGCTTGAATTTTTCCTCATCGACTTCTGATTCTAGGCATTTGATTGGCTTAGCTTGCCTTATCATTGCGGGGGTCTGACTCATTTGTCAAATTTAAGCTTTCCGATTGGCTGGTGAAAGAAAAATATTGATTTCTTATTGGTTTGCTTTATTTGACTTAAAGGAAAAAATATATCCTTTTCAAGTAAATAAGGAATATTGAAAAATTTCTGGATGTTTGTCAGCGGATGTTTTTAAAAATCTGTTGGACTTCTGCTGCTCGATCTCGCCATTTATACGAATTTGTATTTTTATTTTATTAAATGGCATTTTATTGTAATGATTTGAGGTTCCTGCAAGGCAAAATAATACAGATCTTTGTCAGGCGGTTCACGCTACAAATAGCGAATACGTCGAATAGCTTTCAGTTTTCGTCTTGTCGAGTAATATGGATAATTCCGTTACCTCGTGTGCTCGTGTGCTCATAAAAATAAGAAATCCACTGAGATAAGGTAAAAGATTCATGTCGATGTTCATATAAACAATACTCCTATAAGTTCGTATGAACTATAATCCTAAAATTTGCTATGTTAACTGCATATTTGAGCGTTTTTCTGTATTAGCATATATTTGCATTCCCCCGTCGTAGTTCGTTCATATAAGGTCGATTATTGTATTGTTTATTTGTATCAAGTATCAACCAAGATTTACTGTATGAATTTACGTCTAACAAACAGCCAATGCATAAAGAAGATTTATACATTTGTAAAATCTTGCAATTCATGTTTATGTCAAACAGTACAACGTAATCATGATTACCCACCAAACCAATATGGCAATTATAGCGCGTTAATTATACCCAATATTGTCCTATACTGTGACACTTACTATATATTGTCCTACTGTGACACTTACTATAAAGTGTAAATGGCATTAAGCACATAATATTTGGCATATAGCATATCTTGGAGCAATACTAGCTTATGCATGCTGTAACAGTTATGAATATCATTACAACCTACGAATTGACCGCATTCATGTGTTTATTCCATGGATGTAACTTCCTATTATTGCCTATTTTTTCGACACACATGTTTCCCCTATTAAAACTGAAGGCTCAGTAAACTTTTAAACATTTTTAATGCGTACGTTTCGCGCATAATACTTGTATAAATTTCGGCTTCAGATGATAAGTTAATAATTTTTGAAATTTCATTATTCCAGGGGGGAGAAAATGACCCACCTCCCCGTTTTCACTTCGGATAATTTTGACAAACGTGCGAAAAATCCTAGATCCGCCCCTGGTTCAAGTGATTATTTCTTACGCCTTGGCAATTGGGCGAGTATTTATCTGTACTGTTAACATTGATGACTGATTCAACTTAATTATGTACTATGAATATATGCAAAAATAAGAACGTTATCGTTGAAACAAAATTTACGACCTACACTGAAGAAAGCAGGAAGTGAAGCTAAATTTTGATTCTAAAAAGAAGCGAAACTTTGGGGGGGGGGCGCTTTTACATGCATTGAAAAAAATTGTAACAACTTTTTTGTCATCTTTACACTGAAAACCCGGGAGGTTTTCAACTTAAAGAGGGCGATATGTGATATAAGCAATTATGCACGGTCATTGCACAACTAAATAATGAAATATTGTGAAACAATTATTGTAATTTTGCCTAGTACTAATAAACGTATGTATTTTGGCAAAAAAAACATTGTGAGACAATGAACAATGCTTAATTGTTAGACACTTGACACTCGGAAACGGTGAATAGTGATTAATTTAGTCATTAGTTAAAGTTAGTGTGAGAGGCAACAGCACAAGCCGGAGGCACAGTTTTTAATACATTTCTATAAAAAAGTGGTTCTAATCTAATATATGTTACAAAGATACAAAGAATAGGGGTCGTGTAACAGTATGCAAATTCCGGCGGAATTAGAATGTTAATTTTGTCACAGCTAACCCGCTAGCAGGCGCGCACGCCGTACTATGTATTATATGCACAGTACTGTCCAGAAATAACCTAACAAAAACCGCGGTTGAACCGAGATCAGACCAAGGTCGAACCGCGGTGAGACGGAGGTTAATCCTCGGCCTAACTCGGTCTGACAGACATTTCTTAAGATTTTTTCAATTTGAATAGTGTGTTGTCGTTCTCACGAAAGTACTTTATAATGGTCTTACCTTCATTTTCTTTACTTTATCGTATATTTGATCATGTCGTCTTTTGAGTTCTGTCACCTCGCCTCTCATTTCATCTTGAATTGAATTCGTGAAGGTATGGATTTCTTCGGAACTATTGGTGACTTCATTCAGTTCCTGCCTTTGTAAATTCTGATCATCCTCGACTTCGTCTAGTAATGTACGAATTTGTTCACAACTATTGACGACTTCTTTCAGTTTTCGCTTCTGTCTTCTCTGATTACCTTCCATTTCATCTAAATCATCATGAATGTCAGCTATCTTCTGCCCGTATACATTTTGAGTTTCTTCCAGTTCCTTTTGTTTATCGGTGAATTCTTTCTGTCTTGCTTTGATAATCGTGAAATTATCCTTCATCTCTTCTTGACGAAGTTTTATATCTTTTAAGCCCGAAATATTGGCCCCGCCAAGCTGACAGAAACTCTTCTTGTGTTTGTCTTCATCTTTGGCGTTTACTTCAAGGTAACAATCTCCACACGTTATTGGACGGTATTCACAATTGCTCACATGATTCTGCAGATTTCCAAGTTCAACCTGTTCGGGACAACCTCGATTGCTGTGATCACACTTGATTCTCAGCTCTGATAAAAGGTTCTTGAGGTTTTTTCCAGGACATTTCAAAGTTGCCAAAGTGAGGTGTTGCCGACATTCTGGGCACGTTTGGGAATTAGGAAGATGTTGAGATATGCAATTGAAACAAAATTGATGTTCTTCTGCCTGGCATAATCGTGGCTCGTTTAACACACAACGGCAAATGCAGCATTTAAAACCATGAAGAACTCGATCAATGAAACGGTCAGGATCGTACCCTTCACCCATCAGCAATACGTTCACATGAATCTAAAACATATTTACAATGAACAGTCTTAAAAGGAGTTATTACCATACATTACTCCTATAGCCCGGCTTCCATTACAATCATGTCAAGCTGCGGAATATTACTATAACCAGGGACATGGTGTGCGGATGGTGTGCGGCTGGTGTGCGGGTGCTGCACTAATAGGGAGCCTAAGATTCACGACGCGGCGAGCTCGACAAAAAACAAAGAAAACAAAGAAATACTACACGCAAAACAAAACTATGCATAACTTGTGGTTCCAGAACAGCGTTACCGTTCCAGAACAGCGTTGTCACGACGCCTTCAAATGAGGCAGTATATTTTAAATTAACGGCTTTTTGACCACATGAATGCAGTTGAAGTCATAGCTGTTTTACAACTTATATGAAACTGCGATATCAGCTAAAAATCTGTGGTCAGTGCGTATATATGATAGGGCGGTGAAACGGCACAATAGTCCAGCCTCGCACTAAGGCGCTTTTTATGAAAACAAAGGTTATAAAGGTTGCATTCAGCTAATGTATAGAGATCGGTGGCCAAGTATCGCGCCTGGTAGAAAATGTGTCGAATTTTGGCATAGTGTCGATTTCCGCAAAATGTGGAATGATTTTTTCTTTATAATATACGGCTATTTTTGAACATCTTATACGCCAAATATGATGTTGCGCAGTACCACAGATTCTTCCTTTTTTCAATTAATCAAATAATATGTTTTGCTGGTTACGATAACGTATATTTAATGCGTTGAATGTTATTATTAATGTTAATGTTATTCGAGGATTCTAAACGCCAAAACTGGACATTCATCTATTGTAAATATATATCTTTGAGTGCTAATTTGCATATTCATAAAATACCAGCCGAATTATAAGGCAACAATTTTTAACACTGGATGGTATCATAGTGTCGACATCTGTCGGCGGTCTTTCATTTGAATTAAAACGTTTTAACCTATATATGTTTTCCTAATGTACTGCATAGGTTCTGCCCTTTTATCGTGACGTTTTAGGAGGTTTATGTTGACAACTTCTAATGTCACATGAACGTAGGTAAGAAGGAAAATCGTATCATTCTGGGAAAGAAAATAGAGATGATTCACGTCGTGTAATAATCGACTATTGCATGGATAATGCGTATTTGCCAGCTACATTCGAAAGCGTTGCTTAGGTTTATAGCGTAACCGCAAATACTGTTTCAAAAATTCGTTGCTTTAGAATCGTTAGCATGTCAAAAAGTGGAGGCAATTATACGAGAAAATTTTCGAACTGTCATTTTGCAAACTATTTTTTTTAATGTTTCGTAAACAAAATATGCGGAAATGTTGAATCAAATAAAATGATACAAACACAGGGAAAAGATTGAAATAATATCAGAAGAAAATATAAAAAGTTCAGGACAATCGGAAAAAGGAACAATTCGTAGTTTATAATTCTTGAGGTGGTATAGGTGTCTATTCTGCTTATTTCGTGTTTGCTGTAAAAATGCATTATTTTTTTTTATAAGTATGAACTTGGATGTCGTATTGTGAAGATCTAATCGACTATTGAAGGCTTTACACCATCTTTTTAACTTCAAAAAGAGTTCTTGGAGTTTTTAAAAAAGTGTTATTTGCAGTTTCGATATGACAAATATCACTTTAAAGCTTCGACTTTCGTCGAATTCGACTAAAGAGTTGACTTCGTCGAATTCGACTAAAGAGTTGACTGCAATCTCTGCATAAATTCAAAAATTGGAAAACAACATTGGACATTTAATGCTTGGGGATTTAAATTAGTTGTGCAGTTTTGAAGGTTTAGCTAAAGGCCGGAAGGTCTAGGATTTTCGGCACATTTGTCAAAATTGTCCGAGGTAGAAATGGTTGGTTTGGTGCATTAATCATGAGTACGTTGTAATGCCAGAAATAAACATGATTTTACAGAATATTATTTATAAATATTCTGCAGGCTCCTAGATCTAGTATAGTTATGCATTTGTTGTTTAAGTCTCAAGCTCCTAAATATATGGAATCAAAGGAATAGGTTGTAAAATAATGGTCATTGTCTGTCCTATAAATCAGTTTGGTTGAGATTGTCTTGCAAGAATTTAAGTATTGATTACATTAATAAGAGATGACCAGTATGAACTATGAAATGAATCAAGTGTATTTTTTATGTAGGTAATAACTGGATCTGGCTCTGTGTGTGTTATTAGAGAAATTCCAATGGTCACATCACTTTATATTAAAATATTTGTTGCAGGTTGCTCATATAAGGTAAAGATGGGTTATAAGAAAAATGCAGGTTGAGCTTCAAGCTCTCAAATAATTTAATTTTTACCTTTTTTACCTGACATTAACTATGGTATGTTCTCCCTCAATAATATAGATAATCTAATATACAGCCCAATACCCTGTATGTATATTGTACCAGGCTGACTGCTGCCTTGACACATCTGCACATGTTTCAATTGCATTAAAATAAACCACAGTGCAGCTTTGCAAACCATGTGAGACATTTTCATAAAAAACCCCAGAACTATTAAGAAAATAATTAACAGACCTTACCAGTACCATTTATTCATTTTAACACAATGGCCTCATTTAATTAAAAATAAGCATTTTCCTTATAACCCATCTCTACCTTATATGAGGCAACACCTTTTTGGCACAACCCACTAAGCGTTTTCGGCAACAAATATTTTGATACAAAGTGGTGTGACCATTGGAATTTCTCTAATAACACACACAGGGCCAGATCCAGCTATTACTTACATACAGAATACCGCTTGATTCACTTCATAGTTCATGCTGGTCAGCTCTTATTAATGTAATCAATACTTAAATTCATGCAAAGGACTAAATTAGTAAAACGCGGACTGGACTAAATTAATAAAACGCGGACTGGACTAAATTAGTAAAACGCAGACTGGACTAAATTTGTAAAACACGGACTGGACTAAATAGGTAAAACGTGGACTGGAATCAATAAAATTTCTTTAATTGTGATTTATTATAGCCTATAGTTTGCCCAAAAATTTCTCAATGCATGCCAGAAACTGTTTTACCGAGAGCACTCCGTATGGTTCCGATCGACGTCGACGAAGGACGACGCCACTACCCGCCAAAATCGAAAGTCTTGGTGCTTGCGTCCATTGTTTAAACATGGAAGCAAGCTTCAAAATTCCGACATTGATAAAAAAGCCCAAACTAGGGATCCAAGGATAGTGCAAAGTTTTCATGCCCTGTAATACCTAAACAACCAGACGTTTTACCAACATAAACATTTTGACACATTAATCAAAAGGAAATTACTCAAAGTATACTCATTAAATTATATTAAATTATAATTTTAGTTGCTCATGTAAGCCAGGCGCGATTTTCTCAGTTTAGTCTCTTTTCTTCGTCAAACAACTGTGACTACATTCACTACATTTACATGATGGCACCAATTTATCCGTCATTTCATAAGAATAGCTAAAATAGTTGCGTTGTAAATAATGTAAATAAACCACGGTGCATATTATGTCTATGATATGGATACTTCGACGCGTAAATCGATACAAAAATATATACTTATAATCAATACTGTGTACCGCCAAAATGATTTGATTACTGCACAAAATGTCCGTTTTGTATAGTATCATTTATGTACTTTATGCGGTATACCAGGTATCGACTTGCTATCGACATAATATAAATTCGTGTAAGAGATCTATCAATGCATAAACAACAGTCCGTCGTTTATTCCTAACCTCTTAGCTCTATTGATGGAATAAACCTTCCAAATTATATTTGTGTTGAATTGAATGCTGGTAATTCGTAACATAAGATGATAAATTGCGTAGATTCTGAAATAATTGCTCGATTTTTACGCCCGGAATGTTTTGAAGCAATGCTCGTCGCTCCTCGTTTCTTTACATCGTGAGTAATGTTCAAGGCTCTACGCTTCCTTTCCAAAACTTTGGGAAAGTATATACGACTTTTTAAATCTCTTGTTGTGCTAATAATTATAAAATTAAAGAAATTTTATCGATTCCATTTTTACTAATTTAGTCCAGTCGATCCGCGTTTCACTAATTTAGTCCAGTCCGTGTTTTACGAGTCCAGTCCAGTCCGCGTTTTACCATATGCCTCGCCTGCATGAAGCAATTAACATACATTTCCAACAGTGAATTTTTTAATAGTCGTTTCTGCTGAATGATCGAAGTCGTACAAGCAAAATCCTATATCAAGTACAATTATAAAATCGGCTCTCGAGCTATGATATTAAGTAATTCAACTATAATCATAATTGTGCTACGAATAGTTTTAATTACTGCAACTTTTAGCGAAATTTCAATTGCTTTTTAAACAGATTAATCTTAAAAAATAAATGCCTTTCCAATCAAAATAAATTTAACGAAATTGACGAATAAATTCAAAGAGATGTCATACATTTGTTGATAAATCCACATACTAAACTTACAAAATACTTGCATGCTTTAAAATACAAAATCTACCCATTTACCTATTCAAAAACATTCTTAAAAAGCTTCAAAGATTTTTCTCATGCATTTCAATAATTTTTTTTTCTATCCGAAGACATCTTTCTCATTCTCCTAAAATTAATTTACGCTTCAATTTTTTGTAAAATATCAGTTATGCTGAGACGAACCAAAAAACTCATTGCACGTTTGCAAACGTTTCCTAGTCACCAGTTTCCATTCCTCTAAACTCACCCATGCGCATTAGTTACAAAAACGCTCAACGTCCATGACATAATGGCAGACAACTTCAATTTCGCATTTGCATTCCTTGGCGTTACTAAAATCTCCGGGCAGAATTAGTACCTCTTTCTATAACTGTATAGAAACACGGAAAATGTTTTCTATTTCTTAAAGGTTATAATTTATAAGGTATGTAGGAAGCTCTTTTTTACGTTACGAAACTTACCTCTTAGACTAGGACAAAATGCCTCAATTAAATTCGCTAAAACCAATAAAAATATAGTAAACTAATCTCTGAAAAATTTATCAACTTCTTATACAAGCGTATTACGATATAAAATTACTTTTAACATGTCAAAATACGGCATAATTTTTTTACAGTTTTTGATCAAAAACTTTTCGTACAATACGGTATGACAGTGCCAGTGGTCCCTGTACTCGTCATTGTTTTGAAATATTTTACATCATCTTATTGGTTAAAATTGGTTTAGATTCTTTGGACTATTTTTTAACCAATAGGATCATGTAAAATATTTCAAAACAATGACAAATACATACACGGACCACTGTCATCCCGCATCGTACGCAGGAGGCTTATTGCAACAATGGAAAATGTTTATTTTTTATTGTTATTGTATTTATCAAACTCCACAATTATGATATAATAATTGTTGAATGCATATATGATACATAGTAATACACACTAAAAAATTTGCCCATGTCAGAAACAATTGGCTTTTGATTTGTACAATCATGACTATTCTCACTGCATAAAAATACTTTAAGTATGTCTAAGTATGAACATTTCCAAAAGACTGTAGCATTGCCACATAGCTACTACATAACTTTTGAGTATATAATACTTGTAGAAATGATAGACATATCATTTTTATGATGATGCTCAGTTAAGAACTCCAAAACATGTATATAACTGAAAATGTCAACAATTCATTAGCTACCATGCAATGACTATAATTCGTCTATGCAGTATTGTGTGAAAATATTATATTCAAATGACTTTCATTATAATTATCAAAATGGACTTAGCACACTGAAGTTGACCATGTTGAGGAATAATTGTTGATCATGCAACAATTCCAAATCCCAAATCCCAATCCTAAATCCCAAGGTTATAGCTAAAACACGTAAACGATCTAGTTCTAAAAAAACAATAAAACAACTCATCGACTCAGCGGCTCATTCAACTTTCTGCTTCTTCGTGCTTTTTCGTCTGAAGTTACTTCAGCGGCTCGTTTGACTTCCGGCTGTTTTTTTTGTTTTAAAACAAGATAACATGCGGGGACTGTTTTCTGGCATTCGACACGTAACGTTAACAAAAAGTGTAATAATAGTGCGTTTTATTATGCGTTCCGTGTGTGTATTTGTGAATGTACGCTTTCCAAGCGTATTCGATCATAACTAAACGATACTGCACGCATATTCTGTGTCCTCGATTCGAAGTTATACGACACTGCACGCTTATTCTCTGTACTCGATCAACTAAACAAATGTACGCATATTCTGTGTACTCCGTCGAAGCTAAACAACTGCACGCATATTCTGTACACTCGGTCGAAGCTAAACGACACTGTGCGCATTTCAAAATTTAACAATGTAATTTATTACGCTACTAAAATGGGGATGGGCAATCGACGATTCACAGACTTTCCATTCTTCTCCTAAAAAAGTCATTGTTTTAAGTTAACCTGCGATGTTTTTTGCAGTCCTAGGCCTGCCGCCAATCTTCTGCTTTCATTTATAATTTTTTCCGGCCAAAATCACATGCAAAGTCACTCCTTTAGCTTGAGCAAACGCTTATAGCGAGCGTCTTGTTATATTCAAAGAAGCCTTGTTTATTGTAGTACGTGCGTGAAGAAACTCGCTAGAAACCTTTCGTGATTGGAACATTTTTTCAGGAAGGGGCTGTTTACATTAAAGCCGGGCTGGCGAGATCTCTCCACGATTACATTTCCTAATAAAAACTTCTGTGTGTTTATATTGACAGGCTTGGCCAGATTTCGTCGGGCGAGATCTCGCTTCGCGGCAAGCGGGATGAAATGCTCTCATATAGGACAAGTTTACCCGTTTACCAGGCTGTCTCGCTGAATGAGCCAGCCCGGCTCTCATATAAACAGCCCCTAAGACTGACACTCTGAATCAGCCGTCAATTCATTTGTTTGGGCCCATAATTGTTCCCTCAAGAAATTCTTCGTTTAGCTTCGCTCGCATTCTTAACGCGACACTCACAACTGGGAAACGAATAATATCCAAACAAAGCTAGGTAGCATTTGCGTGGCGGTGGCGCTCAATTCGCGCTATCTCGCCTCTTAAGGTTATCAAAGAGTAAGAAAACACCTTACAAGGAACTTACCAGTTTTTTTCACAGCAACAATTGTCGAATCTGAAGCTTGTTTGTTCGTTGTGTAACACAATCTGTGACGAGGATTGATTTCTTTCTCTCATCAGTCTCATGTGAAATTCTCCTGTGATGCTTTATATGACCTTCAATTTCCTGTATTAACATGAAGCATTTTTTAACGGGCTATCTTTAAAACCAGGAACAGAGATTCGGAATCGAGGAAGGGAACGGGGAAGGGAAGAAGGAACAATAAAACAAGGAATGAGAATAGCCGGAATCTTTAAAAAAACTGGAACGAGGAAAACCGGAACCTTTGAAACAAGAAATGAGAAAAGTCGGAATCTTTACAACAAGGAATGAGAATTATTAAGAGTGAACTCTGGCAAATCCTGAGCAATCGTCAAAAATAGTGTGCTGCCTGGCTGGGGCTCGGCAGCAATAACTGATAATGTCAACAACTCACTATAGCTATACCATACAATGACTATAATTCGTCCATGCAGTATTCTGTGAAAATATTATATTCAAATGGCTTTCATTATATTGGACTTAGTAAGTGGACTTAGCACACTAAAGTTGAGCATGTTGAGGAATAATTGTTGATCATGCAACAAAAACCCCAGGTTAACTAAAACACCTAAACGATCTAGTTCTAAAAAACAATGAAACGACTCATCGACTCAACGCGTACGGCTCATTCAAATTCCTGCTTCTTCGTCTGAAGTTACTTCAGCGGCTCGTTCGACTTCCGGCTGTTTTTTTTCTTTTAAAACAAAATAACATGCGGGAACTGTTTTCTGGCATCCGACACGTTACGTTAACAAAGAGTGTAATAATAGTGCGTTATATTATGCGTTCAGAATTATCTGTGAATTTACGCTTTCTAAGCGTATTCGATCGTATATAGCTCAAGGATACTGCAGGCATATTCTGTCCTCGATTCGAAGTTCTACGACACTGCACGCGTATTCTTGGTACTCGATCAAAACTAAGGGAATGTACGAATATTCTGTGTGCTTGGTCGAAGCTAAACAACCGCACGCATATTCTGTACACTCGCTCGAAGCTAAACGACACTACACCATTTCAAAATTTAACAATATAATATATTATAACTATATGTTACTAAAATGGGGATGGGCAGTCGACAATTCACAGAGTTCCCATGCAGTTTTTTCTTAAAGATAGTCATCGTTTTAAGTTGACCTGCATGCGATGTTTTTTGCAGGTCCTGCCGCCAATCTTCTGCTTTCATTTATAAACTTTTTCCGCTAAAATCACATGCAAAATCACTCATTTAGCTTAAGGAAACGCTTATAGCGAGCGTCTTGTTATATTCAAAGAAGCTTTGTTTATTGTAGTACGTGCGCGAAGAAACTCGCTAGAAGCTTTTCGTGATTGGAACATTTTTTCACGAAGGGGCTGTGGAATCCGGGCTGGCGAGATCTCACCACGAATACATTTCCCAATAAAAACTTTTGTGCGTTTTTATGGATAGGCTTGGCCAGATCCCGCACGGCGAGATCTCGCTTTGCGGCAAGCGGGATGAAATGCTCTCATGCATACATGTCTCGCTGACCGAGCCAGCCCGGCTGCCATATAAACAGCCCCTAAGACTGACAAACTCAAAACTGCCCGTCAATTCATTCATTTGGGTCCATATATAATTGTTCCCTCAAGAAATTCTTCGTTTAGCTTCGCTCGCATTCTTAACGCGACACTCACAACTGGGAAACGAATCATATATCCAAAGAAATCCTATAGGTAGTAATTTGCGTGGCGGTGGCGAGGAATTCGCGCGATCTCGCCTCTTAAGGTTTCCAAAGAGTAAGATCAAACCTTCCAAGAAACATACCAGTTTTTTTCACAGCAAGAATTGTCGAATCTCAATCTTGTTTGTTCGTTCGTTGTGTAACATAATCTGTGACGACGACTGACTTCTCTCATGTGAAATTCTCATGTGATGCTTTACATGACCTAAGCATTTTTCAATTGGCTATCTTTAAAACCAGGAACGGGGAATCGAGGATGGGAACGGGGAAGGAAAGAAGGAACGATAAGACAAGGAATGAGAAAAGCCGGAATCTTTAAAAAAACTGGAACGGGAAAAACCGGAATCTTTATGAAACAAGGAATGAGAAAAGCCGGAATCTTTAAAACAAGGGATGAGAATTATTAAGGACCTCGTCTATTAGGAACTAAGTGAGCAATTGAATAAGTGCTCTTGAGTAGCTCAGTTTTTTTTTAGGGAAAGTTTGATGCTCACATGAGCCAAAGGCTATGCTGCCATGCAGGCTACTGAATCATCCGAGCATGTACTGCATGATTAATCACTTGAATACCAAAATTGCGCAAGAAATTTTCGGCAATTTGTCAAAATAAGCACAGATATAATGTAAATTTTGTATAATTTTACTATATATTGACAAATTACCGAAAAATTTCTCGCGTAATTTTAGGTCGCTGTGTTAAACACTATTGGTTAAATTTGCATGAAATAAAAAATTCGAACTAAAAGAGTTTGTCTGTCATGCCGCACAAGAATGAGATGAAAGCGAAATTATGGATGGTTTCAGTTAGTATTTTCAATCTCACAGCGGGGCTGATTTCACACTAATGAGTATTACTTGGAAATTAATGCTGCTTCCACGCACAAATGACATATTCAAAGTTCAAACTAAAACTTCCTCTGAAAAACAATTGCAATGTTTTGAACCCATTACTTCGTTATTCAGTATTAATATAAACTAAAAACTACTAGCTTGAGTTATATATTATATATAGTTATAATAACAATGCATTTTTTTATATTTATAATTGTAATTCCATTACATAGATGATACATCGTACATCAGTATAAGTTGAAAATTGTTTTATGTTTATAACAGGAAATTGAGGTATTTTAATTAGGGTCAAGTAAGTATCACATGATCATTTCGCAATGATTAAGTCAGTCGTCTTCACAGATTGTGTTACACATGCATCGGGAACACACAAGAGTTAAGATTTGACAATTGTTGCTGTGAAAACCACTGGTAAGTTTCTTGTAGGGTTTGTTCTTAGACAATTGTAGATAATTGTAGACTCTTAGACAACTGTAAGATGCGATATCGCACGAATTCAGCGCCACCGCCAGGCAAATTGGTCCGTATCGTTTTTGTTAAATTTGGATCAGTATTATTCGCTTCCAAGTGGCGAGTGTCGTGTTTAAAATGCCAGCAAAGCTAGCGAAGAATTTCTCAAGGGGACAAATGGACGCACTCCGAGTTTGTCTGATCTCGTAAGAACTCGATTTCAATGAATGAATGTTTCAATAACCAAGAGTTTCTCCGCGAACGAACTGCATGCAAGTACGATAAACAAGGCTTCTTTGAATATAACAAGACGCCTAGTCTGGCGTTAACGTCGGGGCGCGTACGAGTCTTTTCACTACAAAGCTTCCAATCATAAACACTATAGTTCATAATCACTTAGAAGCGTTGCGAACCTTAATTTTGTTCGATGTTTAGATAGCACATCGTACTTCAAGAAGCATAGAAGCTAAAAAATTTAAATAAACCATATGTTTATACATGCATGCATACGGGCATTACTGCCACTATATTGTCTTAAACTTTCGAATTCGGGCTTATATTTATCACTTTTGTTCATATGACAACCTTATAACTTATATTAGCGTCAAATATATGTGATGTGTTCATGCTGTCCATGCTGTGTTGGTGCTTGATCGTATAATTCGTGTTCTTCTTCAATCGTGTGTGACCGCTGTGACGTGTCATCACGCCATACACGATCACATCTAAACTGTAAAATAGCAACGATATTACCTATCTATTTATTATAATAGAACCGAATTCCACATGTATTAAAAATTATTACCCCATTTAAACCTAAAATGAGTCCAAAAGCATTAAAAGAACGGTTTATTCCTCATATAAACTCATAATTTAGTACAAATGCCTCGTGAAGGTGTTGCCGTATCATGTGACATGTGCATGAGCAAAATGAAATCGCAATATCGGAAATCGCACTTCAACTATAACGAAACAAAAAGTGTATCGTAGATAAATACAGTGACATATGATCTTCAGCGAACGTCGGGTCGAATGTCGTCTCAAGCCCTGGGTACAAATTGGCCGATAGCTTTGAATTAAATATATATTTCATGCCAAAACACACTTGCCACGACGAAATAACAAAATTCCTTCCCCACAGATCGCAGTGGGGCGAGATTGAAATTGTTTGAAATGTGTTTAAACGAAATGCGCATGCCCAGTTAGGGATGGGCTGATAATATATTTCAAAATCAGGCATAGAAGAGTACAGCAGGTTCGCAGAGGTCGAGGTTTTGAGTCTTATGCATACGTAAGAGTCTGGTCATAACGAAACCCTAACCCTAACTTGAAATTTTCTCCATGTAAGTTCAGGTAATATCAGAACACAACAATCAACAATCCTACAATGAATTTATTTATTTTTTATCAATAGATTCTTTGAGTGGTTACTTCACAACAAGAGGCCAGCCTGTGTGGCTATCTACTGAAAGAACCGAATTCCATTATATTAATTTACTTGAGTACATCGAGTCATCGACGATGTTGTGAATAATTGGGAGGAATGTTTATTCATATATTCAATTCTGCTCGACGGATTTCTTCAGTAAGCTATTGCAGTTACAAAGGAAATCCGTTGGGCAGAACTGAATATATGAATAATCACATCCCCAATTATCCTCCCAGTTTCGGCCCTGACCACTGGGTCGAGACATTCCTGCTCCTCATTCGATACTTCGAACGCGAAATGACGTCATTCATGATCAAAGCAGCGCGGCCTCTCTTTTTGTAAATCATGGATGGAAGTCTCTCACTTCGCCCAGTCTCAGTGTCATACATGATGACGTCATTTAATGCCTGATCATTCTTATCCTGACCGCCAATAACGATAATCATATTAGCCCAAGTGACTGTGGACATGACACTGTGGGTGTGAGGGCAGGAAATTGATCTCGCTTGTCTGCGTAGACAGTTGTTGCAGGTAAGAAATAGTGTATTCTGCGTAAATGGTGTATTCGTTATATAAGTAAAATAGTGTATTCTGCGTAAATGGTGTATTCGTTATATAAGTAAAATAGTGTATTCTGCGTAAATGGTGTATTCGTTATATAAGTAAAATAGTGTATTCTGCGTAAATGGTGTATTCGTTATAAGTAAAATAGTGTATTCTGCGTTAAGTACATTATTAGAAACCATGTGCACTGTATGCATGTCTGTTCTAATTACAAAAGGGATTGAAACACCACCTAACTAAAATAATTTTAATAGTGATCAACCAGAAACCGGAGTTAGTCGCCAGAAGGAGCCTCCTAGAACTGTGTTAAAACAATGTGTTGACCAAGTCTCTTCCATTAGATTAAGTTTTTCGCTATGTCCTAGAAATGCGTGTTTCAATTTGGTTATACTTTGAAATTCGATTTAGACGTAACCTTCCTTTTTCCTTTTCTCAAGTGGTACTGTAAGATCCTTGTGCCAAAGATCAAATTCCCTCAAGCTTATGGCGTGACTAGCAAGCAAGTCAGAGTGAAGTGAAGGTAAACAATTAAACTGCTTAGCTTGGCTTTGCCTTGAGGAAAGATTAATTGAATTGTTTCTTACGGCCCCGAAAGCAAATCTTAAACACGGTTTATAAAACCTAAATCGGAATTATTCGCAACGAATCAACATATGGTTATCATGGTAAAACACGTCAAAAGTTAACATAATTTATAATGCATGCAGCCAATCTCGCCGCTTAAAAATGTCATTGTAGAGCAAATATTACATGCAGTAAACTTTATGTGTACCGGAACGATAACTGGGCCGCCCCGACAAAAGCAATAGGAAAGGACTGGAACTGGTAATTCGGCTTCGAATCATGCTCGTTCTCAGGTTTTTCGCGTAATGTGTGCGCCAAAAGGATTAGGAAAATCAATGCCGACAGCGATCTGATAGGTTAGTTTGCGGTGTGTCTTAGCCATAAGAAAAGTGCTGACACGCGGATTTTGTACAAGGAGTTACAGATGTGTAGTCGTGTGACATCTTTGTTTGTTTTGGATGTGTTACGGTGACACATAAATCACTATCACTATGAATGATCTGTTATATGCGTTAAATACAATTACTAATCACAAGGCATATGTTGGATCTATAACTTAGCATTAAATGTGGTATAACAACTGCCTAAAATAGACATAGGACAAGCGTATTTTTTGGAGATTTTAACACAATCGCTAAAAATACACCCATAACGGCCACCGTAATTTTTTACTTCCCGCGACCAATCAGATCACAGTCGGCATTGAATTTACCAGGGCTTTTGGCAAACGCAGTACGCGAAAAGCCTGGGAACGATAATGCCTTATAAGAACAGTAATGCCTTATAAATAAATCATTACTGTTCCTGATGACGGTACACGAATTTTAAGATCAGTGCGATAACCATCATGCATATGGTTTGTCTTTCATTCGCGAAATGAAAGACAAACCAAATTAATGAACTTCAGAGGCGATATATTATGCATCATCGCGCAATTCACCAGGCTAAGGCCTGGTTCATACGTTGCATTTTGGTCGCGTCGAATGCAATTCAAACAATAGGTAATGAGATGATAATATATTAATGAAGCTGAAGGTTTACCATCTTATTATTTATTGCTTGAATTGCATTCGACGCGATCAAAATGCGACGCATGAACTAGGTCTAAAGGAAATTTATTTTCAATTTAGGACAGTATAAAAGAGTTAAGAAAGCAGTTTCAGAAAATAATGATGATGATGATGAACCAAGCATTTCAAGGAAATAATTCAAACAAGGATGATGTTGTGAGTTACAATGGAACAAGAATTACAACATAGGAGAAGAAAAGTCAACTCCGCATCATCCTCGAGGAGCATCAGCATCGTGTGTTTACAACAATGTAATGGTATATTCCTTGTCAAATTTATCATTATATATAATAGGAGGATATGACTGGAATGAAAGAAAAACATCGAATGCCATTTATGAGATTGCTCTTACCTCACCTTATACTGCCAAGCTGCTGACGAGAATGACTGAGCCAAGAAGGAATCACGAAGCAGAACAATGACTCGGTTACATATTAGTCATGTCCATCGTTACCTCAGCCTGTTAGTGACATATCCGCAGACACTTGGGCTAATATGATCATTGTTTTGGCGGTGAGGATAAGAGTGATCAGACAATAAATGACGTCATCAGTATGGACACGGAGGCTGGACGAAGTGAGAGACTTCGACCCATGATTTACAAAAGGAGCGGCTGCTCTGCTGTCATCATAAATGACGTAATTGTCCTTTTTAGAGGACGGGATAAGCAGGAGGGATATCTCAACTCAGTGGGATCTTTCACCACTGGTGGTTATGCCCTCAAAGAACTGCCAGGAATAATAAGGAAGATAAATCTTAAACCTGCAATTAAACCGCTGTAGATAACGTACCAAGGTATACACCTTATATAGAATTATATCGTAAAGTTGGGCATAAATGTCCTTTTATGAAATTGAATCATTTAAGACCGTTAAATTTGCGAATAGAAGAGTAACAAAGAACACTCGTCACAGATAAAATAACGAACAATGAATTTTTTAAATATGCCCAAAGACATGTATATTTGCTCAAAAAACAATATAAGCCAGCTATTAATACCATCACAATGTATTAAAGCATTTTGATTTGATTCTCTAATAAATTTCTATAAAGCAACTGTGTATATAAATTTAGTCTTGGAATTGCAACGTAATGCTCTCAAACTTTGAAAATACCATGTTGAAGACCATGATTTAAAATTTGGGGGCCACCTCTTGACCCAGCTCCCGGTCAGCATCTGACGCATGCGAATTATTTCATGCAAATATTTTTGAGATTACTTTCTAACCGCGCGGTGCAGCGGATTACAATTTAACCACAGTTAATAGAATATACGTGGTTTGGAGGCTAAATAAAAGTACAATACAACTCATTAACTATGTTATTGTCCAGGTTTATGCAAAAAAATGGTTCCTTTCTCGTCACGTGTCTATTGTATTTTAGCCAAACCTACCAATGGCATTCGTCTTGCTAAGCTCCTCAACCTTGACTTGAATTATATGTTCATATCGTCATGGTTTATCGAGGAAAACTATAATTCATAGGAGGATATGACTGAGAGGAAAGAATGCTATCGAATGCCATTTACGAGATTGCTCTTACCCCACCTTATACTGCCAAGCTGCTGATGAGAATGACTGAGTCAAGACGATATCGCACAGCAGAACTTGTTAATTTAGAACTGTTTACCTTTTGCGAAACAACAACCGGATTTGGTATAAATGCTTTTGATAGCGTTGTTGTTTTTGATCTGATTACAAATGAGTTCAAGCCATCTCTCTCGTTACCTCAGCGTGTTTGTTTCATGTCTACAGTCACATGAGGCAATATAATAATTGTTATAGGCGGTAAGAATAGGAAGAGTCAGGTGTTAAGTGACGTCATAATGTAAGACACTGAGACTGGGCAGAGTGATCCATGATTTACAAAAGGAGTGGTTACTCTGCCATAATCATGAATGACGTCATTGTCCTATTTGGAGGAAGCAATAAGGAGCAGCGATATCTCAACTCAGGGGAATCTTTCACAATTCGCGGATATGGCTGGAAAGAACCACCAGAAATAATAGAGAAAAGAAATGCAATAAATGAAAGTAATATTTACTAAAAGACGTTGAGGTCTGTTCACACGATCCAATTTTGTTGGATCCAATTCACTTCTGACGTATGAAATATAGTCAGTTACTGATAAAGCAGTAGTGCATTGGCTTCAGACGATTTGCTGCTCAAACAAACACATTAAAACACAGCACACTATAAAACATCCATCAGAAGTGAATTGGGTGTGGCAAAATTGGATCATGTGAGCAGACTGTTGACATGTTCTCAACGGCATCGACTCTGCGTCGCGAGAATATTCCAGTCGAATCATAACATGATGATGAGCGTGAAATAATTATAATATGAATATCAAAATATTCATAACATAGAATTATTGAACAGGTGAATTCTTAATAGATATTGGTAAAATTTACATGAGAATTTAAAGAATAAAGAATTTAAATTAAAAGAGTTTGGCATGTTGGCTAAGATTGAGATGAGCGCGAAATTATGTTGGGTTTTGGTCAGGTTTTCAGCGCGACTGACCAACGGCGATCAATGTTTTATAAAACTAAATGATTGAATATGTTTTGCTATAAAAAAACAATAAAATTAGCTCTGTGGACGAGCTACTAATAAGAGCTCAACATTCATTATATTATTGTTTATTTTACACTTCTCCTCCTCATAACAGACATAGGCCTACAGAACAAATGCATATTACAATATATTAGTTTAGAATACGAAAAAAAACCCAAACAGCTTTTACAACAGCGAATATGTACAAGAATCTCAATATATACCAAAAATAAACCAACCATTTAATAATACTTGGAAACTCGGGTTGATTGTTGGAACAACAAAGAAATGCAAATGTGTAGTCAAGATATTTGAAATTCTCACAGCATGCATGAGGTAAAAAATGCTCGAACCAGTTATCTCCATATAAGGAAGTAGGAAGTGTTTTGAACAAAATAAACATTGCGACGTGTCAAGGAATTCTGACACCGTATTATTGACAGACTAAAGATCAACTTGCATGGTGGAAATCCAATTCTTCAAATTTGGTAAGTTTTATCTAGTATAATTACTTTTAACCGTTCCAGCTGCAAGACCTGCACACGCAGTCAATAAAGAGTTTTAGATAGACGTTTACAGGAAACCGCTGTTTCACGTTAGCGGTTTCACGTTGCTGTTCACCTGTTGTTGCAAATTTGACATTTAGTTAGGAATCATTCACCTATACCTTTTGTTAGAACGATTCAAAATTGGCATCCAGTTAAACAGTTTCGCAGTTAAATTGCTTCTATAGCTATTTATAATGTTTCAGTTTTTTTAAATGAAATGTCGTTTACACTTGGTTTTAATAAGCGGCTATCGAAATTCGATATCATGGTAAACCGTCATATTGATTGAATGGTGGTAGCCAGCTAGCCGCTTTCTTGAAGTAATCTCGGTAAACGCATTGAAAACTGCATGGCGGGAAAATGACCACAAGGAAAATTCGGGTAACGAATATGTCTACGATAGGAGTGTTTATACGTGAAACGAGACACTATTGTTTGATAAATTGCTGAGGTAAACGAGCTACGTGAAAATACCCTTCGAGCGGTTGAAACCGTGAAAGAGCGGCAAAATTTCAACGTCGAGATGAGGTTTACGGTTCGCGGTTGAAGAAAAACGTCAAACTAAAACTCTCTAATAATATAGCTTCGAGCTATCGTATCGTTTAAATATTTATTACTGCATGCAATGTAATGCTGAAGGATATGTCGCTAACCGCTAAACTCAGTCTTGTAGTTACCAGAATAAGGCTGGAATTGCAATTTCAACTTCTTCAGACTTTATAATTCTATTCTTGTTCCCTTCCATGCTGATATCACATATAAGTAAATTAGCTTTTACGTATACACCTCGCAAGCATTTAATATTGCAAAGCATTCCGCCCGTTCATCTTGGCCTTTATCAGTATAACAGTTGCAATATAGCAGTATTAAACACTTATATATGTACTAGCTACATATACCTACATGTTAATTTACCTGACTTGTATGTATTTCGGGCATTTTGCTCAAGTGATAATAAAATCATCAGAAGTGACGGATGGCTAATTTAGCGGAATCTATATACTTTTAAGTCTTACGGCCCACATACTGGACGCGATTCAGGTTTTCCATTTTCAGAAGCAAAATAATTTAATTCTGAAAGAATTAATTTAATTCTGAAAGACCTTTTTGGGAGATATCGGTACCATACCAGTAAAAATGTACTATCAATCGGTAATTACCAAGAATATCTTGAGTTAATATTGTTAACAAAATTAGCGGCTTTTGAAAACCGAAAAATTCGTAAAAATCGCGTCGCGTTGGTGAATCGCGTCTCGTCTTTAACCCGGGCAGTTAAAAAGAATTTATCTATCAGGAATCGTGCATTGTTAGCGATCTGCTTTGATCACTGAGCTACAGAGTAAGCTGCCAAGAGAGAATGTGATCTTTTGTATATAAAAAATTTAGATAAGGGTAAATTATAGTTATAATTTTGGGCATTTTGCCCAACCTAACTTGAGCCATTACGTGAATCTCACATTCGCTCGCTTGGGTCTCAAAAATTAAAACTGGATTAAGCTTGAATAAAACACTGTACAATTGGATAATGTTTTAAACAACTCTTTTGGGCCAGAGTAAAGTTTCGCTTATCCTAGAACTTTATGACCAAATTTGAAAATACTGCATGGCTTGCAACATATGAGAGGAGTCATTTTGAAAGTGCATAAGGTCTGGGATGATTTACACTGTTTTATATCTCAGATCCCAAACTCTACAAACACAGAGAACGTATTCATGGCAGCAAGATGGGAAGATGATTTGCAAGGATATGACGTGCATCGTTTTCAAGAAGAAGTCAGAGAAGATCTGCTTTGTTCCATTTGTCAGGAAGTCCCAAAGGATCCCAGACTTTGCCAACACAAAGATCATATATTTTGTTTTACTCATATATCACGACATCTAGTTCAAAACTCTCAAACATGTCCAGTTTGCAGAGATCCTCTGAATCAAGAAACCTTGAGACGACCAACAGGATTCCTGAAGAATTATTTGGACGACCTCAAAATCAAGTGTGATCATCATGATCGGGGATGTCCTGACTATGTCCGTCTGGAAAATCTTCCAACACATGTCAAGGAATGTGGATATGCACCTGTTATGTGTCGTAATGAAGGATGTGGGACAGAGGTCAATAGAAGAAATATTGAATCTCACGAGAAATATCTTTGCCAGTTTAGAATCGCCAAATGTCACGAGTGTGAATATATCAAGGTAAATCAAAAATGAAAAATTATTCACTTAATAAATTTGTTGGAAAAGGTATTTTTAAACAATGCAGCTTTATCCTGAGAAGTAAACTTAGAAGATACACACATTATATTTTTGCCTTTTAAAACAATAATTCTATTGTTTTAGGAAAGTGTGAATGAAATTAAGGCAAGTCAGGATGAAACGAACGTTCGAATGACTGCGTTGGAAAAAAAACAGGAAGAAATGAAAGTAAGACATGTCTTTTATAATCATCATTTATTTCTTTGAACTAAGATTTGAGATTTTATTTGAAATTTATAATTTATTTTTATATTTATTATTAATTTGATATAATTTATGATAAATTTAGTCATTTATATCATGATATATGGTTTCTAAAGTGTAGAACATGTCCTTCCAGTTTTAAACAAAATGTTTTATAAAGATATATTTTAGCATTTTTATTTTATCGTAAAAACTGATGCATATTTATTGAGATATTAACTCGTCTGCTCTTTTATTAAGGATGATGTAGAAGAAATTAAGGAAAGCCAGAATGAAATGAAGGTACGAATATGTAGTTATAGTCAGTGGCGACTGTGGCGTAACCAGCTTGACGATTTTGTCCCGCTATGTAAATTTCGAGTTATTATAATTATTCATGTCGTTAGAAATGTATTGTTTTCACAGTCAGTGAACACCAAAATATTAGCATAGCGGGACAAATCGACAGGCTGGCTACGCTACTCGGGTTGTAGTTTGCTTTGATTGAAGTGAAATTGTTTAAACACGCGGTGTTGATTTTCAGGATGATTTACTTAAAATGCATGCAGTGAACCTCGCTGTTCATTTTCTTTGCAGAGTGCATGTTAACAAATATTCTGTCGTCAGACGTCATTGAAAGCACACAATAAATATTTTTGACTAGGTGAATTACCTAGATAACTTAAACTTCGGCGACATTATGCAACGTCGACTAATTCGCGTGTCTAGGTTATTGCGCTTTCCTTTCCGATGCCAGAAGGTAAAAACCATCATATTTTGAATTTAAAAAATATTATTTCGTTAAAGATAAAACGGTGAAAGCACGCTTTCCGTTCTCATTGGCATCAATCGAACGTTAATTTAGGTGGACCATATTCATATATTCTGCTATGCCTGGCTAATTTCTTTTGAAAACAATTTCACTTTCAATAGAAATCAGACTGGGATAACAGAATACATAAATATGGTGCTCCCCAAATGCCCGTTCGATTGACGCCCATGTGACGTGCTAATGCCGCTTTAAGTAACGATGCAGTTGAATGAAGAGTTCTTGAAACATTCTAATCTATCTTTGCCAGTAATCTATCCGTACTGAAATACAACAGAACCGTGATTAAGCGTCATGAGCGTCATTAATTTTCAATTTAGCAAAGTATGGACGAGATAAGAAAACAATTTGAGAAAATCATGACAACCACGATGATAATGATGAATCAAGCATTTCAAAGAAATGATACAAACAAGAATGGTGCCAGTACTATGGTTCGCCCAGGTCCAGTCAACTTTCAAGACGTTGTTATTATTGGCGGCCGGTATGGCCCAGGAAATGACGAGGTGTTAAATACGGTAGAGAAATACAATATAGTGGAAGGAAAGTCAACTCTGCTACCACGATTGAATCATCCTCGAGCAGCATCAGCATCGTGTGTTGTAAACAATGACCTGCTTGTCGTCGGTGGTTACGATAGTAAAACAGAAACTGACCAGATCGAGATTTTGAACATGAAACAACATCCATTGCAATGGACAATGTTTGATGGTAAACTGCCTGTCAAATTATCTCATCACGACGTCATAGTTTACCAGGGAAAATTATATATAATAGGAGGATATGACGGGAATGGAGAAATATCGAATGCTATTTATGAGATTACTCTCAGCCCACCTTTTACAGCCAAGCTGCTGACGAGAATGGCTAAGCCAAGAAGATATCACAGAGCAGAGGTTATTAATGGAAAACTGTTTATCTTAGGCGCAAAGACAACCGGTCTTAGTAAAGATGTCATTGACAGCGTCATTGTTTATGATTTAGTTGCGAATGAGTTCAAGCCATGCCCATCGTTACCTCAACCTGTGTGTAATATGTCCACAGTAACTTGGGGAAATATGATTATTATTCTTGGGGGTGCGGATAGGAATGGTGACGCGCTAAATGACGTCATCATGTATGACACAGAAACTGGCCGAAGTGAGAGACTGCCATCTATGATTTACAAAAGGAGCGGCAGCTCTGCTGTGATTATTAATGACGTCATTTTCGTGTTCGGAGGATGGAATGAGGAGCAGCAATTTCTCAACTCAGTGGAATCTTTCACTATTGGCGATAATGGCTGGAAAGAATTGCCAGGAATGAAAGATAAAAGGAGATCTGCCTGTGCCATAGTTATACCGCTGTAGGTATAAAGCACTACAGCAAAAAATCAAAATTCGGTATGATACACGGAATTCATAATGAACGCTTTAAGATATGTTTTTCAGTTCTTTAAGAACTGCCTGGAATATGCGTTGCATCAAAATTGCTCGCAAAAACGAATGCGATTTAGATACACATTATACATGTTTTTATATTTATCATATATAGCGCTAATGTGGTCGCGTCTATTTGGAAATTTTATAGGTAGAAAGAGAATATTCTTATTTATCACTTCATTAAGAATAAACAATTAGTAAGACTCAGTCAGCAAGGCAATTATATAATAAATAGCCATAGCCTTTTATGAAACTGAATATTTGAATCGGCTTTGTAGTTCATAAAATAATTTACCTCGCAATCATTCGTAATCATTTTATCATATATAACTGATATGTTGCGGGTGCATAAAAATGTAAATAACGTTTTCAGATGTCAAGGCATATTCATTTTAGTAGTTCAATTATATGGAATCAATTTTTCATATATAATGTTATGTAGTTACATACATCACCAAATAATTCTATTCTAATAAAATGCGTTTTCAATAGTTACCCGTCATGAGGGGAAACTGTCGACATGTTAAGTGCACGAAATATTTTCTCTGAACCCCATCCCTAACCGCCACCTTTTGCTAACCGCAAATCGTGAAATTCGTAGCACAAATATATAACTGATTAAGGATGAGGACCAAAGGAGGATTCAGAGGGATATTCATGGATAAAGGATATTAATTGCCGGACGAATTTTGCTCAACAATCTTGTCTCATTTCGGGATATTTGTTTCACTAAACATGGTCAGAAGACAAGTAAAAAATAAATAAAAATGATAATACGAATAAAAAATTGACAACAGGCCATGTTTACTTTCATTCTGAGAGAATTTCTACATTTAACTCTTTACAGATATCGGATTATCGAAACTTGATGCAGACGAAAAATACTCTCGCTTCATGGATAGGCTTGATAGCTCAACATTTCGACTGGATTAGCAATGTTTCTATCTGAATTATTTTTCCACATTTATTAAAATTAGATGAAATATTCAACCCAAAATCCTCGAGAACATGCAAAAATTGCAATATTTTGAACTTCTTAGCTATAAGTCAGTATATACACGACTATCAAATTTACTAGTTTGAGTTGCTATATTCTTAATAATGGAAACTGTTTTATAAATTATAATTTCTGTTCCATATATACATCAGCATAAGCTGAGAATTGCTACATGTAATACAGGAAATTAAAGTGTTTTAAATTCAGGTTAAGTTTCTCCCATGATAATTTCAAAATAACTCATTGTCACAGATTATATTACAAAAGGAACACAGGTTTTGTTAAACGATGAAGTATTGAATTGTCTTCCGCTTAGGAAAAATAACATTTCCAGACATGTTCACCAGACATATATAATATGTAAGGTATAATATTAATGTTTCAGAAGAACATATAAAGGCGTAAAATCAAACGGCTACATGCAATATTTACAAAATCGCATTCATTTCCTATTAGCCATTTGCCAGTCGAGCAGGATATTGGGTCTAGCCGCGAACCGGAAAGCATCTATGACTGTCTGGAGGGACAAAAACTTAAGACTTATATTTCCAGTCCCTCCAAACAGTCCATTGATGCTTTGCGGTTGGTGACTAGATCCAGTACCCTGTTCGATTGGGAAATGGCAGAGCTCCAGCTACTTCCGGGAACATACCCAAAGGTTAACTACAATGCTAATAACAACATGATCTGATCGCCAGGCAGATTCACCATGAATAATTCCCAAATCTTGCCACAACTTTGTCTTGATCGGCAAGATCTTTTTTGGTTTTCTTCCTCATGTAAAATATGGGACAATCACGACTGAAAAAGCAGTTATAAAGTTATTATCGCAGTTGTGAAGCTGGTTTTTAGGGCGTGTATTTTAGGGGGTGCATTTGAGGGCGTGTCTATAGAGCTGCGAGGTAAAATCAAACATTTCCATGCCGTGTTAACAATTTGAACATAAAGGAGCCAATTAATTGAACCAAAATTTTAGTCCCAGTAACTTCCCAGCGATATCCCTCCATATCCTGTCTCAGACGTGGAAATTTTCATGTGTCGAATCGAATGCAAATGAACTTAAACAAAGACTTTAGCTGTTTAATATTAGGTTCAACGCATGCATGAAAAGTTCGCCGTTTGAAACGGGCCTAATTCCACGAGCGTTTTTTCTCAGGGAAATGCGAAATATTTCACCTGTTTCTTTTGAAATTCGACTACTAGAATAAATTGTTCTGCTTTATCGATCACAATTTAAAAGAAGCAGGCGAGATATTTCGCATTTCGCTTACGAAAATCTAGGCCGTGGAATTAGGGCTTAAAATGCAAAGTTTCTAACCTTGTACATAACACGTCATGATGAAGGCTGCCCTGACATTCCTGGCACTGCGTCCATAGACGGGAAAATTTCTCTTCTAAGTAATTTAAACTGGCGATTTCTTTCTGATAAAACATAGACTCCTGCGGCTTGCAGTGATTACACACAGCACCTACGGCAAAAGTGCAAAAAAATGAGCTGGCCGAACTTGAGTTAATACATAGCCTAAAGCCAAGTTTACATGCATGAGATAAACGACGGATATGGTCGACTTGGACGAACAGTTCGGAGACTGGCAACCTTTAGGGCATCTATAACGTGCCTCTTGCAGAGATTAGACGAATTTTCCCTTAACGAAAGATATATTTAATGTCCTTAGAAGCCACAACCTATAAGGATTATATATTTTTTAATTTCTACTTCTAATGAGCTACATAAAGTCAAATAAAAACCTAATTGCGTTGGACGATTAGAGATGAAAGTTAAAAATAAGTTCAAAAACTATAAATCTAAATTTTATATTGAATGGTTTTTATTCAAATTAGCACTAGTAATTTAAAAAACACTTCAATTTGTAAAATTGATGACAACTTTTCGGCTAAGCATTTTGTTGCACGTTCAAATGGAAAAACCTTCAAATCTAGCCTTGGCACAGCAGAAGAAAAAAATATAGTGAGAAATTATAATCGAATATATTAATTAACAGGCAATTTTATCTGATGTTGACAATAGATGTGGATTCGCAAACCCGCATACGGGATGTTAACTTTAGCCAAACATCTGGGGCCGGTTGTATAAAACTATATTTTGCATAGTTAAATCCTAATTAACGCAGAAATACACGCATTTGATTGGCCAATTCAACTACAGTTAAAAGTCAACTAGTTATTTAAAAAACTGGCTCCTCTTCATCAACTGCCTTTGACTTAATTTCGAGGTACCGTTGAGAGTGTAATATTGAAAAGTTATCCGACTTGTGTACATTTAAAACAGTTGCTTAATCAAGACTTGTTTGAGCTGATTTTCCTTTACTTTATTTTATTTTCTTAATCGTCTTGCTTCATACTGTAATAGCTCCTCGTTTACATGGAAAGGTTACAACAGCATACTTACGGTCATCGGGAAGCACTGATTTACAACCAATGCAAGTACTACGTTTCTTAGCGAAGTTCGCCAACTTTCCAATCGTTGACGTAACGACAGTTTTTGTTCTTGTATGTTCTCCCTCTAAACAGGACAAGGACAAGGACAAAAGTTACTACAAAATAAGGAATATTAGATGTCATTTAACTCCGAATTTATATTAATTTACACTTGCTGTGTTTTTCACGACTGTCACGACTGCATGGGCAGATTTTTAAGCGAGCCACCGCCAAAGCGAACACAATGGTAAACAGTATAAGGGTAGGAATTATTTGCGTGGTGATGTCATAATATTTAGGGTTGTTCAATGTAAAACACTAATCTTCAATTGTGTAGATTGGGTCTATATGCACAACTCTCTGATTTCCAATCTACTTTCTGCACGAAGGAAAAAAGATGAAGGTTTGGGATCCTTGCATGTGTGTCATATTTTGAAGATATCAAGTTGCATGAATGAAATGTTCGTAAAAAAATCTTTTCGCCCTGCTAGCCATTTGCATCAAAGTAGCCTGAGGTAACAGCAAGGTGATTTATGCCTTCAATCATGGCCGTAGCTAGACGCTTAATTAGGGGTGCATATTCATATATTCGACTGATTTCTTTTCTACGCTTTTATTCCCACTTATAAAAAGATGAATATACGAACACCCTCTCATATATGAATGAATTTTGACACTAGGTATATAATAATAAGGTTTAGGAGACTTACTAAATAACACAGACTTCGCTTTATCTTCACCAAGGATTGGTTCAAATATTCTCATCAGAGGATTTGTCAGTTGGTTTTCCAAATAATAAGTTGTATCGATAGGGATATTATTTTCTAGTACATAAATAGGATCCTGAAATATGAATAGATAACACATAATTGAAATCGCATTTTTCGTCACTCTCGACCAATGAAACGTTACGAACAGAAAACTTTGACAAGTGGTATATAATAAAAGCCTTTAACTATATTTTGCATAGTTAAATTCTACTTAACTCAGAAATACACAACTCTGATTGGCGAATTCTGTCCTTAACTACAGTTTCAAGTCTTTTATACAACAGGCCCCAGACCAATTCCCCCAGACCACAATACAAAGGCAGAGGACGGAATGAAATTAATATAGCTACCCCTGACGAGCCGGCAAAAATCGAGTGTAGTGTAAACGAGGCTAACAAGTACAAATTGTTCGTACAGTTGAAGGAAACACTATTGCGACCAAATAAAGAGTTTAGCCTCACAAAACTAGGCAGTTAAACGGTTAACCATCAAAAGCAGCTAGCGTATGTTTCGATTAAACCAAAATTTTGGCCTAAATACGCTGGACATGCAGTTTATCGCAACGATGACCCCGTAAGGTTTGATGTAGTTTTACATGCACATGCATATCAAGCTTTACCTCCGCCTTCTGGTACGCAGCCATTCCTTTTGCCCCTGCGATGATGACGTATGGGACACGATCGCCTAATTTAGGGGCGGATCCCGCATCTCTTTTCTTCATCCTAAATGTGGATAATTTTTCATTATCAATGATTTATCATTGGTGTTCACTGTTCATTCTTTTGGCGAAGCCACGCTATGTAAACGTCTTCTTCATTTGTTTCAAATAAAAAACATTGCGATCATTGCATCGTAATACAGCCAGTGTTTAGCCTCCTGCACTGCATTGAATCTGCTCGAAAAAACACACTAGATTCCTGCTACGTTACCATATTCATTTTCATTGAAACGAAACGAATAAAAACAATCTTCAAACGGTTGATTTTGCACGGTTAAACAGGATAAAAACCAAAATATCACGCAATTTATGTGAAATTTTAAATATAAATTAATGCCTAACAAAGTGTACCCACACGCTCAGTTAAAAAAATATTGTCTTTTTCGATCATGACATTAAATGCTTAGCTTAAATTTTCAATAATTCTTCAATTATTTCGGCTAACTCGAAAGTTTACGGCTAGCTTCTACAAACAAGCTTCCTGGATACAGAGGATATCTGCAATGAGTATTAGCCCGATGTTTAGGGATGCTTTGGTTCTTTCAAACTACCAAATTTAGCAAATTATTCAAAACGCGTTGTTAACAAGCGAAAAATTTCGTTGGTCACAAACTCTTATAAAAGCATTTTACTTATTGTAATATAAATATCTCACCTTTCAGCCAATTCTGAATGAGCTTGCTTTCCGGAATACTCGTCTCCCGTCTTTGTTAGTTCTTTCGTAATTACTAACTGTGATATATCTATTCTGTTGCACAATAGGTCGGATATAACCTGTTTCGTGTATTCGATTGCTCCTTGAGGGTCTCTGAAAGATATAACTTTATAATTAATTAAAGGCCCTGTTACACATTTATTTGCAACGTGCAAAAAAACTCTACTTTTAAATTAGTAAAACTGTTCAAAAAATGTGGGTGTAAAAATCGTCAATGGAGTGCAACAAACATAATTATAATAACACTTATAGTACGCGCGTGCTGATTGGTCGAGAAGCGTATTTCTATAACTGTATAGAAACACGGGACTTTTCCCGCCGAATATAAGCGAAGTAATGAAATAACGCGGCTCATTCCATCCCACTGTTTATTTCTCGTTCTCCCAAACTCCCAGGCGTGTTTCTATAACTTGTACAAGGTGTATAAAAAAACTGCAATCACTTAATATTCATATATATGTTCGCTTTAATTAATTATTAGGGTTGCAGGTTTTTTATACACACTGTATAGAAACACGGAAAATGCTTTTGAAGCATAATGATAGCAGGTATAAATCTACTTCAGCTAAAACGCACAGTACCTATCAATGAGGATTTTTTGCAGACAACTATTGATAAGGCTGGCAACTAATGGAGCATTATCTCGACGAACCTGAAATGTCAACATAAAGTAAGAATACTTAATCTCAAAATGAGTTTTCCTCAAGTATACATTTATGGACAAAATAGAACAATACACTCAGGTTTGGGAAAATGAACAAACATTCTAAGGTCTTTATTACCGTTTCTATTCCTTTGCAATCCATTTTATCGTGAATTTCGGGTTTCGTGAAGTACAATCCTGCATACCGTTTCTTGCTGATCAAAAGGTACGGAAAATAAACCTTGAAATAAAATGTTTGATTAGACGCTAGAACTAATGACTTTTAAAACGGAAATTCGCCACAATTTGACAGGGTTTTAGCGGAAAACGACAAATAAAGATAAATATCAGAGCACCCCAGAGCAAATTGCCTTTTTTATATACACCCTGTACGTACACTTGTGAGTCCCAACAGGGTGCTTAAGCGTTCAAACTCTAACTATTACATTGTTATGCATCGGTGATAGGTTTCTGGGAAACCCTCTATCTCAAGAAACGTAGATGTTTGCGTACTTACTTATTACTTAAGCCTTGAGCCCCTAGAGGGGCATAGACCATCCACATCAGCCCGCGAACATCCAGGCCAGCAGTTTAACTTTGCCTGCATGCATGTATACGCATTCATATTAATGAATGTACATTGCAAATACTGACCTTTTCAAACTCCAGTTTAATAGGTTGAATAAAATGTGAGGTGACGTAAGAAGCAGCTTCTTTTCCAAGTTCCATGCTTGCCCCAACGGTATCTGTACCAAACTTTACCATAACAGAATCCGTGTCGCCATATATAACCTATGAAGTAAATATTAGCCCTGAAAATTTATAATGACATGCACTATATACTATAGTGCCAGTGTATATCAGCAACACTATAAGAATGTTCGATATGAGATGAGATTAGCAGGTTGAAAAGGGATTACACTAACATTACACTAAATTAATCGGCACGTCGCACAGGTGCCCATTTTAGAAGGGCCCGGTTTTTGAATTGGTAGCTTGAGCACTAACACGATTGTGTTCGGGAACCAATTCTATTAGAGTTCAGGCTACCCATAGAAAGGTCCGGTCACCGATGAAATTGGCACAGGCACCCACTTTAGCCGTGTCGTGAAAACAAATCGAGTGTAATGTAAACGGGGCCTCAGCAAACTCACCTGCGCATCGTGTTTATATCCATTTACTATTCTGTATTTTTCTTCAACAAGTTCCTTAGTCTTCTCAATCATCATCCTCCCAAATGCAGTTACGCTCTAGAACATCATCGACATATGTAAAGTCGTGCATCACGCACCTGCAAGTATAGAGAAAACTAAATATACTCACCGAGGAGATTTCAAGACAGGGTAGCTTTCCAACTTGAGCACCAGTGAAGCCGTATACGGAGTTAGCGCTAACTTTTAGGGCCAACTGTCGACCATCGAGTACCTGGTGAGATATTTTCTGAAGTAAATTTTTCTCTTAGTGGGTGTAATAATTAACAAGTTTTGAATGAAGTTGAACATTATATGAAGAATTATCAAGCCGAAGTTTGTGATAATGACAAACCACTGCTAAAAATGCGCGATTCAAAATGGCGGCAATTATGAGAGTGTTCATGACATCGACAACTGACCAGTATTGCTGACTGCATTTTGGGCGCGAAGATCCGCTTATAAACAACGAGAAACACTAAACATGCAGTAGTTTCAGAATATTTTCAAGCTTTACAAGATTTTTTTTTTAAATTTCAAATTATTTAATTTCAAGCTGATGTATTTTTGAAGAATCAGTAATATACACCATTCTCATCCATCTTATATTCGTCAGCAGATATGACGTGTAATTTGCCATGCTCGTCGCTAATCAAAAGTGCACGAGCAGGCAGTCTAGGTATATACATGTCAATGTGACAAACTGAGGGTTGATAATTCTTTTTATCATGCGAAAACCAAATTCAATAATTGTTTCATTATTTATTTATTTCCTTCGGACGCAGATGTCTTTGCTATGACGTAATAGCGCGCATGAAAAAAGTCGTATCACACGCTGTGACATACACTTTGGACATGACGATTTCACACATCACTATTAGCCAATCAGAGGCTGCGGATTCTTTTAAACAAATAATACTAGTGTTTAGCAATATGGGGCCGGTTGTATCAAGCCCGTTTATAGCTTAAACAATGAATAAGTCAAAATTAAATAACACTCGTATCCTAATTACTAGGGTCATTAGAATTTCCCATTTTCTTATGAAAACGCTTTAGAATACACAGCACGTCAGATCATTTTGGGTAACGATTTTATCCGGGCATAAGGCAGAGCCCGCACTTTCAAAAGCATTTGTCAGTGGTTGGTCTACGAAATTGTAATGATTTATAATTATCTGATTATGTAGGTATACGGGGGGCTTTGTAGCGCAAAGTTGTATTCGACTGCAACAACTTCCTCTGACTGTGCGTGCTTGCTATTAATATGAGGTTTAACAGCAGCCAGAGAAAGATGCGAATTACCTTCTTGCGAAAAGGGTCTGTTTCGTTCTTTAAGTCCGTTTTTGCTCTGAAACGAGAAAGGAGATTTATTTGAAGAAGAGTTTTGTCCTGAGGTTTACATGATAACATATCACCCGTATATTATCACATATCATCCATAACAAATTAACTAACCCTTTTAATTACACAACTCTCTTTGTATAAAAGTTACCATTTAATTTATGGTATATGTACAAAGGTATAATGAATTTACTAGCGAATGCATAAAAAAAATTCAAATTGTTTTTCTGCTGTGGGAATATCACGTAGAGTTGATTATCAATCATTTTCATGCAATATCTTGCTGAATATTTCATGAAAAAAAGTATTTCCAATAAATACATAAAGTTAATGGTGGGCGTTTCTAATATGCATGAGGACGCAAATAACATTCTCGGTACAAAGAAATACGTTGTCCAGCCCAATTCCAACAACTTCTACCGTGGGCAAAAAAAAAACTCGTGTTTACAAATTTTTGTATAGAACGTATTAAACACAATGCATTATTTAAACGGTCATTAATACTCACTTCTTTCTCGCACTCAATAGATCTTCCAAAATCTCTGGCAATATTCCCTTCCTTTTCGTCGATTTAATAAAATATGAACCGCATGGTGTCTTTATATATTCATCAGGAGCAAGTCTAAAAATTTCAAAGCATTAATTCAAGCAATTCATCTTAAAGAGCCCCAAACAACAGAAAAGACAGGTTGCATTTAATGGGCTGATTCTTCAATGCGTTTATATACACGTAACTTGAACAAATGATAGCTATATAACTCGAATATAACAAGCAAAGGCAGGTTGGTCCTGTTTAACTTTCGAACCATTATATTACATTACATTTATGCTACACTTACTTTGACTTAGATTTAGTTAGGCCTAGGTTAAACGTCTATCATCTCATTATCTATTGTTTCCGACATATAATTTAGACCTTAGTTTTGAAAGGTAGAAAATTTAAATTAAAAAAGCTATAGCGATTGAATCATAGGCAGGCCAATTTTGCTAATCATAATTTAAACGCGAGAAATTTTTCAATTCTGTCAACGCATTGTAAAAATATATGTAATTATATTATTACACTATGTTGACAAATTGCCGAAAATTTTCTCGCGTTCAAATTATCACGCAAATTTGGGCACCCAATGGTTTAACAAGAAACGCAAGTCTGAAAATAATCTCTGCACTTACTCTTTGGCGCCTTTTTCTGTAAGCAGCGTTGTGTAACACAAGTTGTGAGCCATCATGATAGACGGATACAATGACGAAAAATCCAGAGTGGCAATTGGGGAGTCATAGTACCTGTAAGTAGAATTTCCCAAATCAAAATTGTCTCCATACAGTTTATATAGAAAGATCAGCGGGTTTATTTAACAGTGACGGATCTAAGGGTTAATACAGCTTAAAATTGCAATCAATCGCATTGGTAGATTTTTATTTAAAAATCTTCTTTTGAAATCCATTACCCCATGGGCCTAGATCCGTCACTGATATTTAATGAGAATTTTTGGTAATTCAAAGTGCAAACGGCAATTTTTTACAAATTAAACAATTCGTTTCCTGAAGTCATAAAATTAATTTCTCTTTCAATAGTGAAAAAGTCGCCCTCTTTTCATAGGTCTAAAGTGTGTAAATCTTCATCAGTACTCGATCGAATCTTGAATCGTTTAGATAGGTCTTGAATATAGTTTTTAATTTTCTAACGTACATATTATATACACATCGGTGATGTTGAATTCACGCGCAAAATGACTGCAGCCGAACATGAACGACGCGAGACGTTTTCACTAAAAGGACAAATGCTCACTCACCCTTTTACAGGTTCGATTACAGTAGCACCAGTGTATTCATCACCTGGATCAATCCTTTGGGCAGGGATGACCAAATCTTGCGTTTGTGCCTTAATAAAAACACCACAAAATGTTCCAGTAAATAAATGTCGGGAACATGGAATAAGAAAAACAATTTGCAGAGATGTACTTGAGTATCGGGGCCTGGGTTTATTCACACTATATTATTCCCACCGAAACAGAAACAATAAAGAAAAATATTGCCCCTGTAATGGTAATAGGTCGCACTGTAGGTGCTGTAAAGCCTGATTACCTGTTAGTCGTGAGTGTGAAAGTGAACACATCAAAGAGGCTGATGTGATTGACGTGAGAGAATAACAATACAGCTGTAATGGCCACATGACAATATAGTTAACTGTCTGTTTAACCAAAATACTTTCACAAACTATCTTCCTCGATTCTCAAATTTTGAATTTAAGGACGATTATGTTTTAGCTGTGGAATTTTCGTCTTAAATCTATATTATTTTTATTAGATTTTGGTATTCAACAATAGTATACTGACGTTAAGTAAATTAGCATATAGGTACACCAGGTAATATTGAATATACCACAAAGCTTTCGGTCCGTTAACCCGGACCTTCATATTGCACTGATGAAGGACGGGGTTAACGGACGGAAAGCTTTGCAGTAGAGAGGTTAAGATCCGGTTCCGGTGTACGGGTACGGATAGCCTTATCTTGTTCAATGAATTTCCATCAGTGTTTCTCAATTTCCTCGAAGATTACTAGACAATTCTTTTCCAGTAGACTTTAGCCTCTTGAGGTAAGCATGATTTGTATCATGAAACGTGCGAACAAACAGAAATTCCAATGAACAAATTGTGGCTACCCGTACCCGTATACCGAAACCCGGGTATCTTTAACCTCTCTAGTATTAAATACATATACGCGCGTGGTATACCTACAAGCTAATTCACTTACTTAATATCACCATGCAAACTTACAAGAATATCAACACTGACCTTCCTAAGAAGCTGAGAAATAACCTTAATCTGCTGTCCCCTGGATAACAGGTAACTGAAAGGAACGCCCGTCACTCGAGACATTTCCATGTAGTTTATAACGCACATGAGCTTCTCTAGTAGACGTAATGGCAATAAGGCATCCTTAAGGCAGTATACTGCCAACCGACGACGAGTCTGGTCAGTACCTTTCTATAATACAAATAATTTCATAATTTTATTGATGGATAAATTCAGTTTGGTTGACCATGCAAGCAAACTAGTGTTTTAGAGCGGGAGATTGCTGTAAATTTCTGCAGCGAAAAGTATTACAATTATATAAATTTATCATTTCGATTATACAACTACGTGTAAACGAGTCTAAATGTCGTTAAAACGAGTGCAAATATACAGCTTATACAGCGATATTTGAACTGTTTGTTATTTTTCATTTCGATTATACAATTACGTGTAAACGAGACAGTCTAAATGTTGCTAAAACGAGTACAACAAAGTACAGCGATATTTGGACTGTTTGTTATTTATATTGAGGAAAACAGGTTTGACAAGCTGACGTGATAAGCTTATTTGAATAGTGAATCAAATTTGTTGCATGAAACACCACTTTATGTAATGATGAATACTAAAAATAAATGTCTATGTGTGAACTGGTATGAATATTTGCATGAGGTAAATGTTCCATTGATAGGATCATGTACTCTGCGCAGTTTTCCACTAGACGGAATTTTTGGCCGGTGAAGGGAATATTCTCACAATTGAAAAGATTATCAGACGAAAAAACCCGAATGGTGGAATATATATAAAGACATATTCAACTCACATGTAAATCAGTGATGATGGAATGCGGAACATCCTCTTTTTGTTCTTGTAAGAAATGATAACTAACTGAATTCAATGTGTAGGATCGAAGTTTATAGTCTCGGAGCAAAATATGCAGCAAGTCAAACTGTACCCGACCAGTGATATTGATAACTTTGTTTTCCCTTTTTCCGTAGGCGCGGGACTGAAATGTTGTTGAAGACACGGTGCTTTTATCTTCCTTGATCCGGCCTAAGTATGGGAATTTCAGCACTTTCAACGCAATTGCGCGGTTGAGCAAGTAAGGTAGATCAAAGTTAACGATATTGTAGCCAGTGATGACGTCAGGATCCGCATCGCACAAGAAGTTCGACCATCCCTGCATAATATAATGAACTGAAGTGAGTGGATGAAAATGTTATACCTCCAACTGAGCTAGCAGTGGACCAGTAAACTAAAGGGGTTAGGTTGACACCGCAGAAATTGGTGTTTAAGACGTTTCAAACCGAAAAGCTAGTCGCTGGTTCACAATTGTGCATTTCTCTACCGCTACCAAAGAAAAACAGCTCATCATACACATCTGACCGTTGTTAAATGGCCATCTTTAGGCTTTAAGTATACACAAGGTTATTAAATAAATTCAGACGATTCGTTTTTACCGTGTGCAAGCTTCAAATATTTTGTGTCAGACATATTTTCTTGAGTATTTATAAATATTTTTTCTCACCAAGTTTGAAGTCTAAGTATTGAGAATTGCCTTGAAGGCCATACCAATTACCGCGGTGTCGGGTTAACCTACTTTTCAACTCGCCCAGTTTGTACAGTAAATCACCACATTTTCAGTCACAACATTCTTTCATAAACCAGCCTTTATTGTGACATTGAATTTATCCATGCATGCATATAGCTACATGTATCTATATAGCTACTGCATTGCAGAAAAAAATGGAGAACAAGAGCCTTAATACATGCACTACACACTGAAAAGATCGACTCAGGAGGCAAAATTAAAATACACTACGAAATATAAACCAAGACTGTTGAAAGCGCTCCTTTTTAGCAAATTTGGATTTTAAGCCTATCATTGTAAACCGAGCATTATAGACAGAGCTTTTATAATTGCAAATTAGCTGAAGCCATACCTGAAGTAAATCATTCTCGTTTTTAAAAGATTTCACATCCGATCCAATTATTGACGCGCATGTGTTGAGGGTAAAAACGTTTCTAATGAATGGATCTTTCTCACCCTGACGAATAACCATGTTAGCAATCTGAATGACCGAGTCCCTTTCTGGTTCTGGGAAGATTCCCTTGCGCCCAGCACATTCAATGTCGAAACTCAGAATTCGAATTGGAGCGATCTTTTGCCATTCTCCTAAAGAAATGTCGAAAAAATACAGTTAAACAACCGAGTTCCATTTCACAGCCTGCAGCGTTGTCTGATATACAGTGAAAGCAAAATAAGGAAAAATACATTCTCGCGCTGTTTTGCGGGTGGAAAGAAAGTACCGATGACAGTACATTACTGTCCATAAATAACCTAACACTGCGGTTGCGGTTCGGTTGTGGTCGACCGCAAGGGAAAAAATACGATCGCGGTTGCCGTTTGCTAAGAACGACAACACAATAATCATATCGAAAACATCTTAAGAAATGTCTGTCACACCGAGTTAGGCCGAGGTTAAACCTCCGTCTCACCGCTGTTACGAGCGCGGTCCTATAAACTTTGATAATACTCGCTTTTGGTTCTGTTTCTACTCGCAACAAACACAGTGTGAATCAATTTGATTTATATAGTTATTTATTCCTTAACTTTCCAATAACGGTACAGTAATTAACGTCTCTATAAGATTATGACTTTAAGAAGATAATATATCTTTAAACGTTTGACTTATCTCTGTCTGAACACAACTCCACAAAGCCTTGTCTTCAACTTTAACTCCAATTCTCTTTGTTTAGTGCTTCTGCTTTTACAATATAATATTTAGGCACTGAGGCCTTACGAAGAATGCTGTACGCATTTCTCTGCCCGTGGTTGGTTGTGCTCAGACTTTATACGCTTGGCTACCCTAAAACTATAAGTCATTTCCCGTACGCAATTCAGTGCGTTGTAGCACATGCATGCTATCGTGGTTTGTGGTATAAGGTGTGGATAGCTATTTTCTTACTCATGCATGTAACTATTTGCTTACTCATGCATGGAAGTCTGACTGAAGAGGATGCTATATGGTTATATGATTATAATATTATATAAATTGTTATAAGATGATATATAGTGATTATACGTAATACCGCGGTTCAATCGCGATCAGACCGAGGTTTGACCTAGTTAACCGCGGTTTTTTAGGTTATTTCTGGACAATACTGTACATCGCAAATACAACCAAAGAGCAAAACGCTAACACGTTTTGTTGCCCGTTTACACTTGCAATTTTTGCTGCGATTTTATGCGCGATTTTCTTTTTTTGATAGATGTGAACGAGTGAATTAGTTACTGATATGCAAACAGGAGCTCGTACACATCAGAGCATTCGTGACTTATTACTCGTTCACATCTATGAAAAGAAGAAAATCGCACATACAATCGCAGCAAGTGTAAACGGGCCTTAAAACCGATGCATGCATTTACTGTAGGAGGTATATAATATGTATTACGTATATGGTTTTAACCATAGTTAAATGGAATAGTAAATGGAATAATGGAGAAGAATACAGACTACGGCAGAAGTGCGGATTTGATACAAACAAATGCTATATTACGAAAAGAAATAGTAAAATAAGCTCCTTTTTGTCTTTTTTTAAGTTTAAACGAGGTTTTGTGACAGCTTTAAGTCGATCTGGGCATGCATATGATGCAAAGCAGAACAATACCTTCACAAGGGTGACTAATAAACTCATCCCAAGCAATATCAACTTCCAACTGACACCTTGAAGTTTTCTGATTCTCTTTCCTCATGAGATATTTACCAGCTGGTAGTTCGATCCAGTTACAGCCAACCACGCCAGTATCAACCATAAAACGAATCTATTGAAAAAACACAAATATTCAAAATTCACACATGTATGGACGCACAGTTCTAGTGGACCACTACTGACCTCATATTCAATATTGCTTTCATATGTTGTATAAGCTCTTTCAGGTTCAATGTTATATCGAATGCCAGATTCCAAAATTCGTTTTGCAGGTGCAATTAACTTTGGCAATGACATAGTTATCTGGAGAAATGGTATCTTTCTGTTTTCATGGTAACCATAAATGCTTTCCTTTGTGTGATGATCGACAGCAAGCACTGCCTAGACACATCATCAAAATAAAGAATGTAAATAAAGGTGTGTGTTTTGCAGGCTCAGTACAACAAATAAGACATTATAACAATCATCATTTATGATTATGTGACTTGAGTGAATTAGTATTGTGATGGTGCTACTTTAATTAAGTAACCAACCGAACAAGCTAAAAAATTGAAGTTACAAGTTCAATGCTCATTTTCAGCATATCTGGTTGGTACTGAAACTCAGAGTGGTATAGCACCATCACAGGGCGCACATGAAAGTCAATCACCTGGTTTCATTCATGAACTTGTTTTTCTTGTTGTTAGCTCAATTGCAAAATAGTATAAATGCGACAGAAATTGTGTTTGCATGGAATAAATGTGAATTAACAATTAAGAGAAAAAACAACCAACAGGTAGCAAACAAACAGTTTCAGTTTCACAGCGCAACTGAAAATTAAAGTCCAGTCAAACTGAAAAAAAAATCAAAATATACTGTACCTGAACAACATTATCTCTGTTTGACCTCATATCTGCAATCACAGCTTTATTGAGCACCTCTTTAAATGCATGACAATCATCTTTCTTCATGTTGGAAGGTGCTGGTATAAAGAAATATGGTACAAAGCCATGGATGTGACACAAGACACTGTTTCCTTCCATGGTAATGCCATATGCACGCACAATAGGGACGGGGCCTACAGCAGACCCTGGCATTCCTGGAAAATGTTGACCTAGAAGCAAGGCAATGTATATATTATGCACCACATGAGATAAAAGCAGAGTTTCAATATCCATTACTATAATGTATACGGTAATAATAAAAAAGATACCAATCATGAAATTATATCAATGACTAATCTCCCAATGCAACGACGCAAAAGTCATGATGTTTGATACCAGATACATCATGCATGTTGAAGGCCTGTTTTCTTACCAAAGTGTTTAGAGTAGTGCATGGCCGGTTTTGTTAATACATGGTATGCTAATATTAAATGTTTATAGATACAATGGTAATCTAATAATATTTCTGGAAAAGCATTATACTAGCTGGTGCTCTACATTAAAAATACAACAGAATACTATATTTAAGATTGGGTTATGACATGGCCTCAGCGCATAGTGAAATAAAAGGGTGAACAATCCGGTAAAAATCGGCCAAATACATGTTAAATTTCTAAATGTAAGTATTAATTGTAACACTAATGATTTATACACTGGAAAAATTATATTTCTTCATATATGGAGGGTATTTTTATTGTAGTAATAAACATTTATTTATATGATTGGCTCTAGCTGGCTTTTTTTTGTCTCGGAAGGGCAATTACTAGCATAATTCACCCTATACTACAGGGATAAGGTATGTTTAGCTCTAAATGTATGGAAGACATTCAGACTAATTGTCCCTCCATTAATAAGCAAGGCAGAAAATTGGCTTTTTTTGACCTGACCAGGCTTTTACCCAAGGAATGTGAAAGCTTTGTAACAAATCCTTAGTGTGGCTGGTCGAAAATACGCAGCCTTAGATTAGCACAATGTCTAACCAGCAGGGACTACATATGGGTCAGACATTTTGAGGTTAGCAAAGTCTCTCAGAGCTTTTACTACACTACCTGAGATTTTAAGACTTTAATCACTTATATTTCAAAGAATTTGTTTATTTATATCAGCAACATGAAAATAAATAATGTATTAAGCTATGGCAGTAATGTTTAATTATTGTCTGTTATCTATGGAAGCATTGCCTGCAAACTCAACATCATCAGTTTAAAATATGTGGTATGTCATCAATTTATTCAGTTATAGAACTGTTTGGATTGTTTTGAGGGCCTGAGTATAAAAAATGCAGTAGCAAGATATGCTCAATTGCAGGGTATAATCATGTCCACATATTGTAAATGCAATCACACCACACGAAATCAGTCGGACATAAGACAAATACATATGGCCTACTGTATATGTTAGGAACATAAGCTATATTAAAGTATACCTACAAAATATAAATTCATTCACTAAGCGACTACAGTACATATAACTGATATAAGGCCCATGAAAAAAATGACATCATAATTCCTCACCAATATAATGGTCTAAGTCAAGCTGTTGAAATATCAAGGCATCTTTTGAGATGTCCAAGGCGGGTAAAGGAGGTCTACGCCACTTTGATGTCCGACTTTCCGTGGGACCAAATTTCGCTAATTCACGTTCGAATCCACTGGGTTTCTGTTCGTCAGATTTCGTACGTTTAATACCATTTGAATTTGGATAGTCTATCTTTCTCTTCTCTCCACCACGATCCATGACTGCTCGATACAAAATTTCTCAAATGCAGCCAACAAATTATGTTCCCGTGAATGCGATCGAGATAGGAGAACCCTCGAAATATTAAAACGGAAATAAATTATAAAATCGTGTGGTTCGCGCCAAAACACTGTTTTCGTGACAAAATATTTTGTGGTACTTCATGTAATAATCAATATTGGCGAACAAGAAATTGGCTGCGCTTTCAAAAAGTAAAGTTATTTGCATTGTTGCATGTAGCTCATATCTGTCCCTGTAGTCAGTATAATGGAAAGGAGGTTGGCGATATTAAGAAAAAAAGAACTTTTGAAAAAAATAGCTAAATAGATCCCATCAGCACTGACCCCTTTCTCTCTATCTATGGCCATAGCGAGGAAAAAAATAGGACTACAGGTAATCATTAACTGAGTTAATTTTTGCTTCATTGAATGTGAATTATAAAAACGTTCAGTGTAAACAAGAGGCAAGCTTTGATTTTGACCAATCGCGTTACCAATCGTAGGCCAGTGCACGAAGATGTTATTACGTGATAATCGTCATTAATTTTGTCATTACGTCATTGCTTTTATGCGGTGTGATAAAAATTCCTTTAGAAATAAATTAATAATCTATTATATATACTGTAGTATCCAGAGGTGAACAATATAATGTTAATTAGAATCCAACAAATTACAATTAAAACCATGCACAGAAATAATAAAAAATTCACAGGCAGCTACCAGTCAAGCAATTGTCGTGGCGTGTGCATGATGGGTACATTTGGGGAAAATTTGAGGACACAAAAATAATCTCCAGTGGCGTAGCCAGCCCGACAACTTAGTCATACTATGCTAATAATTTGGCGTTCATCGACTGTGAAAACAATGAATTTCTAACGAAATGAATAATGATAATAACATAAAATTTGCATAGCATGACTAAATCGTCAGGCTGGCTACGCCACTGATAATCTCTATAGTTACCGACTTCTTATAATACGATACAGAATACGTATTATCTTAAGCATAACAAATTAGAAGTAGAGGTAATCATGCGATGGCAAGCACAGTTCGGGATTAATAGCACGTGTTATAATATTTGAAAATTTTGCCAAAATTGGACGAGCGGCTAGCTGGGGCGAGTAAAAAAACATCACTAAATACCTTTAAGGGCATTCCAGGCGCTATTACACTACGCAAATTTCTTTGCAACTTGCAATGCAATTATAATTTTGAGGAATGTTAATTTGTAAAGAGTGTTTGAAATGCAGATAGTAAAACTTTAGATGCCCCAGGAGTTGAATCGCATTGCAGGTTGCATAGGGAAAATTGCATAGTGTAAAGCCGGTTTTCCACTAGCGATATTTTTTGCGCGAATCGACATTTTAATTTTGTTCCCGAGCTCTCAACTGCAACCATCTGGAACAAATTGCTCAAATACAAAGGAATAAAGTCGCTTCGCGCGAAAAATATCCCTAGTGGAAAACCGGCAAAACAATGGCATTAGGAACGCGCTTCCACTTTGGAATTTACTTTGCAAGATTCATACAGCGATGAATGGGCAACAGACACTTTTAGGGCATCAAGTGATTTCCAGTTTGGTTTTCTTTTTGGGAAATGGAAACCGAAACGGGCATACCAAGAAATATCGTACCATAAATGTCGCCACCATTCGATTTTCGGACTCCATCATGCTATCTGTGACAATGAAAAGGCAGCAAGGTGCTTGTCAGGGTGGTAGTTTTTGTAGAAAATCTTACGTAAAAAATCGTTGTCGGAAGTATATTATAGCTGCTGTAGGCATCCGAACGAAATTTGAATTGAGAGGGCTGCGCTCATTTCTAAAAAAGTGCGCGGTCACAGCTTGAACCACACCCCCGTCGACTTTATATTTCATACTAATAAGCTTCAGTGACACAAACCAGCACAGTAAAAAAATCATGAAAAAATATTATTCAAAAATAATTTGGTCTCCCTGCGCCCCCACAAGCCACTCCCCCGTTTCGTAGCCACGATATCGGACTTTCGTAGCAGCTTCATTCAAAGCACTTGAAGAAGAAGGAGTCGTCATAATTGTGAAGTATACCAGTGGCATCGCCAGCATCAACAAGTTGGGTGGACATATTAATATATTTATTCGTGTTTACCGTAAAAACATTCAATTTGAAAAAAAATGAATAAGGTAATACACCCCAATTATCATATTGGATCCAGTTGTATCAAGCTCGTTAAGCTCAAACGCTGGATAAATTCAAAAAAGGATGCGGGCATTGATCCCGATACCTCGCGCATGCTAAGCGCGCGTTCTACCATTTGAGCTAATCCCCTAATTGCTGCCTTTCCTTAAATCTTTTCCAGCAATTGTTAAAAGATAAATCCCTCTTTACGAAATTAAAAATTGAATTTCTAAGTTTGATTCGTGTAGCATGGCACCTAATTTATAGGTGTAATGCCAACATTTTCTTGAACATTCATCAAAAATTAACTCCTTTAAAAAAAAATACGTTGATTCAAAATATGTTTCATACAGCGGATCCGGAGTAAGGTTATTGCCAAAATTGACTACAATATGTGTTGTTGCGCTGGTGGTTCAGTGGTAGAATTCTCGCCTGCCACGCGGGAGACCGGGGTTCGATTCCCCGCTAGCGCATGAAATTCCCCTCGGATGCATTGTCCTAATCAATAACACCCATCCTGTGGTTTCTCTTTTGCGCTTGCTGTGCCGTACCAAAATCTTCAGAAAAAACGGGTAATTTTGAAATAAAACGATATTTTTACGTAAGGCATAGCAAGTTCCCATGTGGTCTAGTGGCTAGGATCTGGCGTTTTCACCGTCATGGCCCGGGTTTTATAATTATGGCCGGCAAAAAGAGATTACATGGCAATACAATCAACACTTGAATGCATGAGTATTATTCCAGGACACGAACACTGAAAAGGTTAGGAAGAATCGCCATTCATCGATTTGTTAAAAAGAAAATTGATATTTTGAACGAATAAAGTTGTGTCGCATTTTCGAGAATTTAATGTGTTTTTAATTGATTGAATAGGGAAAAAGTATGGAGGATGCGGGCATCGATCCCGCTACCTCGCGCATGCAAAGCGCGCGCTCTTCCATTTGAGCTAATCCCCCAGAGCCGCCGTATTGCATTCAAATCTATTGTTACAATGACACATATCTATTTTGGTTTTTTTACATTTGATTACCCAAACAAACTATTTGCGAAAACCGCAAAATGAAAGCATTATTTTCAATATATTGCAGACATACCAAGCTAACCGACAAAGTCTTTCAAATTATTTCCTGCCGAAACCCGGGATTGAACCAGGGACCTTCAGATCTTCAGTCTGACGCTCTCCCACCTGAGCTATTTCGGCATACAGCTTAAAACGTGTATTCATATTTTTCAGGCGTTTTCGATCATCCACCTAGTTCCCTTGCTGCTCACAACAACGGAGCATACTGGGCAATTTCAAAATGTCAGGTTGTTATAAATATGCATACATATATTTAATAAATTTCTACTCCACTGCCAGTATATAAATTTGACTTAGGGAAGTAAAATATTTTTCAAAATCTTTTCCATGGAACTGTCCTTCGAACCGGATTTGAACCAGTGACCTAGGGGTGTTTTGTTACTTATCTACAGTCCCCCGCTCTACCAACTGAGCTATCGAAGGCTGATAACGGCCAGCTCCTTTATTGATCAATCAATATTTGTCATACAATAGTTAATAGAATTTTGATAATATAATTAAAAACTTAGGTATGAATATTATTTTTAAAATTTTTACGAAAAACATTCAACGGAAAGCCACGGTTTTTTGAAGCATGATTTGAGATCCAAAGCACAATATTTTGGAGGATGCGGGCGTCGATCCCGCTACCTAGCGCATGCTAAGTGCGCGCTCTACCATTTGAGCTAATCCCCCAATTGCTGCCTTTTCTTAATCAATGGCTCATAGCTAACAAACTGAGTCTAAATGTCGCTAAAACGGAATTTATGATAATTGGATCTCGTCAACGGTTAATGATACACAATAATGAACAAATAAATATTGAAATTGACGGGAAGATAATCAAGAGAGTTAAAGATACGAAATCATTAGGATTACAAATTGATGAGCACCTAGTATGGGCGCGACACGTTGAAGGCATTTCCAAAAAGGTTGCGTCGGCAATTGGTGCTCTTAAAAGGATACGCCAGTTCATAGATACAAGCACTGCCCTCAAAATTTACGGAGCTTTGATTCAACCGTATTTTGATTATTGTAGTTCAGTTTGGGATGGTTTAAATATCACGTTAAATGATAAATTGCAAAAACTGCAAAATAGAGCAGCGAGAGTAATTACCAAATCTGGTTACGATGCAAGTTCCAGCGACCTTTTCACTAAACTAGGTTGGGACAATCTTTCGACACGCCGGAAAAAACACAAGGCTGTAATAATGTTCAAAATTCTTAACGATTTAACACCGAATTATCTCCGTAATTTATTTGAATTCCACAGCACAGGATACAATTTGAGAAACTCTGAAAATGCTTTATTTGTACCAAAACCGCGAACAAATTATGCTAAACGAAGTTTTAGTTATAGTGGCGCGGTGTTGTGGAATGAGTTACCTCAAAATGTATGAGCATTATGCTCTCTTAACCAATTTAAAAGGGAGATTGACAACATTTTTTCCCTATAAAACAGACTCTCGCACGGCAATCTTGTAAATCAGTTTATATAATTATCTGTATTTTAAATTGTATTGTATTGTGTTGTATTTAGTAATTTTGTCCCTAAATATCTAATGAATGTACATAATTATATAGCCCACTTTTTATACTGTAGATTTTACCGTGCTTAAATAAAGTTTTGATTGATTTTGATTGATTGATTGGAATAGATTTAACACTTAAGATTTTTCAATTCAGAGTTAATTATTGATTCAAGCTCTGTTACAGATTTTGCCGCAATACTTATATTAGTATCATCAGCAAACATTCTCGGAGAGGCTCTTTCCAGACAATTAGGCAAATCGTTAATGTAAATTAAAAACAATAGTGGCCCCAAGTTGCTACCTTGAGGCACACCACAACTTATTTTAACAGCCTCAGATAATTCACCATTTACGCAACATCTTTGGCCACGGTTGCTTAGATATGATTCAAAGAGTTTGATGCCGCTTTGGTCAACACCATATATTCTTAACTTCCGTAAGAGAATGGTGTGATCAATGGTATCAAATGCTTTTTTGAGGTCGATAAAGACCACTCCATTGAGTAGGCCATTATCTATGTTGATTGACCATTTGTCCGTTGCTTCTAATAAGGCAGTTAATGTACTGTGCAATGATCGAAAACCGGATTGAATTTTGGATATCAAATTATTAGCATTTAAATACTCATATAGCTGATCAAAAATCAGTTTTTCAAAAATCTTAGCAACACATGAAATTACGGATATTGGTCGATAGTTGTCCATATCATCTTTTCTACCTTTCTTAAAAATCGGCGTAACTCTTGCTAACTTCCATTCCGTTGGGAATATGCCAGTAGTTATAATCTTATAAATATTAGAGTTAATGATGGGGCAACGATTTCAGCTGCAAGTTTTAAAAGTTTGCAGGGTATTTTATCCAGACCTGATGCTTTCTTTTCGTTAATCGTTCTTAATTTACTACAAACTGTATTTATTGTGGGGGGTGTCAATGAGAATGTGGTTTCAGTTGGCTCAATATAAACCTCCGGTTCCACAGCAGATGGTGGTATATCAGATGCTAAGTTCTCACCTACTTTTGCAAAGTGAGAATTAAACATTTCGGCTATGTCCTTAGGCGCATTTATTGTTTCTTCGCCAATTGTAATATTAGATATGGTCTTATGACTAGAATTATTACGAGAGCTTAATTCATTAATAAGTTTCCAAGTTGACTTTGGATTGTTCTGGTTGGTCTCAAGGTTATCAGTAAAATATTGACTTTTCACTTTTTTAATTTCATTATTCGTAGAGTTCCTTAATGATTTATATTGTTGCCAAAACAATGTGTCTCCAGTCATTTTTGCTTTCTTTTTCAAAAAATCTCACTGGCGCATTTTTTGTTTTAATTGATTAGTTATCCAAGGGGACTTCTTTTTTCCAATTCTTTTTAATCTGAGTGGAGCATGTTTATCAATGCAATTAAGTAACATCCCTTTCCATCTTACCCACATTTCATTAGGTTCATTGCACAAATTTAATTCTAACCATTGCTGTTGTTTTAAATCTCCTATAAAGTTTCCTCTATGAAAATTTTTCATACTCCTTATTTCAACTAATCGCGCTTCCGCTTTCTTATTATGAACCTTATGTGTCATATAAACTAAAACATGATCATTTATGGAAAGATCAATTATACCTGAATTTATGATTTTTTTTGGGCATTTGTAACGCAAAGATCAATTAGCGTTGAGGAATATGGTGTAGTTCTAGTGGGTTCTTTAATTAGTTGTGTGAGGCCAAAAATTTCAAATATATCATTTAATTTATTAGCATTGGCTGATGTTACTCCCGGCATAAGGTCCACATTTATGTCACCTATTAAATAGAAATTAGTCATGATTCGTCAAATCTACCTTCTGTATTATTTTCTCAAAATAATCAAAGTAATACGTTGGCAGATCTGGAGGTCGATACCAAGTGCTAATTAAAAGAGATTTAGACCGAGGCTTAATTATTTCAACTGTTAAATATTCTAAATCGTCAGAGCTTAAATCATCGCAAATTTTGTAATTAAGGTTGCATCTTACATAGAAACAAACACCACCCCCATGTCTCCCATTTGTTCTCCTATCTTTCCTTACTATTTCATAGCCGGGTATATGGACTTCGTTATCTCCAATTAAAGAATCAAGCTTTGTTTCGTTAATTGAGATAACATCAATATCAGATTCTTTCATAAATATTCGAAATTCATCAATATGTGCAAAAAGGCTATTAATATTTAGTGAGGCCATAACTAGACCTTTGCCAAATGGTTTATAATTAATATTAGTGCACTTACGATTTACACTCGGTAGCACAGATTCAGACTCCCGCACAGCAGATTGGTCGTCCACACTACCTATTATTGACGTGTTCGCCAGATCATTGTTATTTGTGGGATAAGTACTCTTTTCCGCGTTATATAACGATTTGTCTAACGATGAATTATTTTCCTTGGCGTCTGTGGTATGATCATCCTCAGAAGCTCCCCCAGATGATGAAGTTCCTTCGGATAATCCTCAACAGTTGGATGTGAAAGTCGCCGAAGAAATTTGATAAAATGGACAGCCAGGAGCGCTGATCCCTTTGTATTAAGGTGTAACTTAGAGCCATTGAGGCAGGATTCGTCTATGTTCTTATTTGCGATGAATGTATATCCTTTTTTCTTGCATAGATTGTATAGTAATTTATTAGTTTCATGAATCTTTGTTGCCACGTCAATATCTCCTCTCGATATTAGGCCAGATATTGCGATTCTGGCATCTTTAAACTTGTTTTGTACTGTGGAGCTTAGATGCTTAATATTATCGCAGCATTCTTTACTCGAGTTCTGTATTAAGTTATTCGTTCCAGCGTGTATGATAACATCTGTGGGAGAGGAATGCACATGAGCTTTTTGGAATTCATTTGCTATTTCCTCAGCTCTTTTCCCAGGGTATAATTATTAACTTTCGAACTGAGCTTTTTGATATCTTGTGAGGATTAATATCCTTGATCATTGAATCTCCAATTAGTAGGATGTTTCACTTGGATTTTTGCCTTTATGAGTTGTGTTAGTGTTCTCATTCCGATGACCAGTTTCCAAGGTTTTGTCTAAAGATACTTTGCTCACAGAATCATTGGCATCGTCTTCTTGATCACTGATGCTGAGGACTTCGTACCGATTCTTTCACTCAAAAACGCTTTCAGAAGTATCTTTACTACAGCTCTTTACTTTGGTATAATCCCGTTTCTGTGTTTTGCTTCCATCATTGAGGTCTTCTTGTAGGGATCTTGCAGCTGCTCTTAAACTATCGTTCTCAGTTTCCAGTTCTTTAATTCTCTCCCTCTCCGCCGGTAGAACTTTTTCACGTTGGACCAGCTTCAGTGAGGTCATAAGACTTGATTTCTCTTCCAGCAATTGTTAAAAGATAAATCCCTCTTTACGAAATTAAAAGTTGAATTTCTAAGTTTGATTCGTGTAGCATGGCACCTAATTCATAGGTGTAAAGCTAACATTTTCTTGAACATGCATCGCATAATGAACTACTGTAAAACAAAATACGTTGATTCGAAATATTTTTCATTCAGCGTATCCGGAGTAAGGTTATTGCCGAAATTGACTACAATATGTGGCGTTACGCTGGTGGTTCAGTGGTAGAATTCTCACCTGCCACGCGGGAGACCAGGGTTCGATTCCCCGCCAGCGCATGAAATAGCCCTCGAGCTCGGATGCATTGTCCTAATCAATACGGAGCTTTAGCAGTGAGTACGAGTACGAGTACGAGATTCGTCATTCTCGTGCGTTGTTTGCTTACGCCATCAGTCAAAACTCGTAGTCGCCGGGCTTTTGAGTACGAGTTTTTTGATAAACTTCGTACTCGAAAGCCCAACGACTACGAGTTTTGACTGATGGCGTAACCAAACAACGCGCGAGAATGACGAATCTCGTACTCGTAGTCGTACTCGTAGTCACTGCTAAAGCTCGCTAATAACACCCATCCTGTGGTTTCTCTTTTGCGCTTGCTGTCTCGTACCAAAATCTTCAGAAAAAACGGGTAATTTTAAAGTAAAACGATATTGTTACGTAAGGCATAACAAGTTCCCATGTGGTCTAGTGGCTAGGATCTGGCGTTTTCACCGCCATGGCCCGGGTTCGATTCCCGGCGTGGGAAGCCCGTTTTTATAATTATGGCCGGCAAAAAGAGATTATGGCAATACAATCAACACTTGAATGAGTATTATTCCAGGACACGAACACTGACAAGGATAGGAAGAATCGCCATTCATCGAGCTTGTTAAAAAGAAAATTGATATTTTGAACGAATAAAGTTGTGTCGCATTTTCGAGAATTTAATGTGTTTTTAATTGATGAATAGGGAAAAAAATATGGAGGATGCGGGCATCGATCCCGCTACCTCGCGCATGCAAAGCGCGCGCTCTTCCATTTGAGCTAATCCCCCAGAGCCGCCGTAACGCATTGAAATCTATTGTTACAATGACACATATCTATTTTGGTTTTTTTACATTTGATTACCCAAACAAACTATTTGCGAAAACCGCAAAATGAAAGCATTATTTTCAATATATTGCAGACATACCAAGCTAACCGACATAGTCTTTCAAATTAATTCCTGCCGAAACCCTGGATTGAACCAGGGACCTTCAGATCTTCAGTCTGACGCTCTCCCACCTAAGCTATTTCGGCATACAGCTTAAAAGTGTATTCATATTCTTCAGGCGTTTTCGATCATCCACCTAGTTCACTAGCTGCACACAACAACGGAGCATACTGGGCAATTTCAAAATGTCAGGTTGTTATAAATATGCATACATATATTTAATAAATTTCTACTCCAGTGCCAGTATATAAATTTGACTTAGGGAAGTAAAATATTTTTCAAAATCTTTTCCATGGAACTGTCCTTCGAACCGGATTTGAACCAGTGACCTAGGGATGTTTGTTTACTTATCTACAGTCCCTCGCTCTACCAACCGAGCTACCGTAGGCTGATAACGGCCAGCTTCTTTATTGATCAATCAATATTTGTCATACAATAGTTATTAGAATTTTGATAATATTATTAAAAACTTAGGTATCAATAATATTTTTAAAATTTTTACGAAAAACATTCAACGGAAAGCCACGGTTTTTTGAAGCATGATTTGAGATCCAAAGCACAATCTTTTGGAGGATGCGGGCGTCGATGCCGCTACCTCGCGCATGCTAAGCGTGCGCTCTACCATTTGAGCTAATCCCCCAATTGCTGCCTTTCCTTAAATCTTTTCCAGCAATTGTTAAAAGATAAATCCCTCTTTACGAAATTAAAAATTGAATTTCTAAGTTTGATTCGTGTAGCATGGCACCTAATTTATAGGTGTAATGCCAACATTTTCTTGAACATGCATATCGCAAAATGAACTCCTTTAAAACAAAATACGTTGATTCAAAATATGTTTCATACAGCGGATCCGGAGTAAGGTTATTGCCGAAATTGACTAACATATATGTGGCGTTGCGCTGGTGGTTCAGTGGTAGAAATCTCGCCTGCCACGCGGGAGACCGGGGTTCGATTCCTCGCTAGCGCATGAAATTCCCCTCGGATGCATTGTCGTAATCAAAAACACCCATCCTGTGGTTTCTTTTTCGCCCTTGCTGTGTCGTACCAAAATCATCAGAAGAAACTGGTAATTTTGAAATAAAACGACATTGGTACGTACGGCATAGCAAGTTCCCATGTGGTCTAGTGGCTAGGATATGGCGTTTTCACCGCCATGGCCCGGGTTCGATTCACGGCGTGGGAAACCCGTTTTTTTATTATGGCCAGCGAAAAGAGATTACGGCAATACAATCAACACTTGAATGAGTATTATTCCAGGACACGAACACTGACAAGGATAGGAAGAATCGCCATTCATCGAGCTTGTTAAAAAGAAAATTGATATTTTGAACGAATAAAGTTGTGTCGCATTTTCGAGAATTTAATGTGTTTTTAATTGATGAATAGGGAAAAAAATATGGAGGCGGGCATCGATCCCGCTACCTCGCGCATGCAAAGCGCGCGCTCTTCCATTTGAGCTAATCCCCCATAGCCGCCGTAACGCATTGAAATCTATTGTTACAATGACACATATCTATTTTGGTTTTTTTACATTTGATTACCCAAACAAACTATTTGCGAAAACCGCAAAATGAAAGCATTATTTCCAACATTTTGCAGACATACCAATTAAGCTAACCGGCAATGTCTTTCAAATTAATTCCTACCGAAACCCGGGACAGAACCAGGGTCCTTCAGATCTTCAGTCCGACGCTCTCCCACCTGAGCTATTTCGGCATACAGCTTAAAACGTGTATTCATATTCTTCAGGCGTTTTCGATCATCCACCTAGTTCCCTTGCTGCACACAACAACGGAGCATACTGGGCAATTTCAAAATGTCAGGTTGTTATAAATATGTATACATATATTTAATAAATTTCTACTCCAGTGCCAGTATATAAATTTGACTTAGGGAAGTAAAATATTTTTCAAAATCTTTTCCATGGAACTGTCCTTCGAACCGGATTTGAACCAGTGACCTAGGGATGTTTGTTTACTTATCTACAGTCCCTCGCTCTACCATGCAACTGAGCTATAGAAGGCTGATAACGGCCAGCTTCTTTATTGATCAATCAATATTTGTCATACAATAGTTAATAGAATTTTGATAATATTATTAAAAACTTAGGTATGAATATTATTTTTAAAATTTTTACGAAAAACATTCAACAGAAAGCCACGCGGTGTTTTCAAGCATGATTTGAGATCCAAAGCACAATATTTTGAAGGATGCGGGCGTTGATCCCGCTACCTCGCTCATGCTAAGCGCGCGCTCTACCATTTGAGCTAATCCCCCAATTGCTGCCTTTCCTTAAATCTTTTCCAGCAATTTTTAAAGTGCATATCACCCAATTTTTTTTATTTGATAAACTAAACGTATTAATGACTAAGAATGAAGATTCAGTTTGGTTTTTGAATATTTTGTTTATTTTCATGATTATTTGAGCGTAAATAGCGTCCCTATAAGAAACTTGACCGAGCGCAGCGACAACAAGCGAGGACTGGTGCCAGTGACGTAGCGCGAGGAACTCGTGTTTGGATGCCAAGTAGATATACTATATCGATACTATACTATTTGGCATAAATTCTTAATACATTTTTGAAGAATTTGCGCAAATTTTACATAAGAAATGTCCACAGCGACTTCTGATTCTGAGAATGACTCAATTCCCGACGATGACTCGGATTATAACTATTATCCTGGTAAATATACCATTATTGAATCGGAAATTATGCAAGCTTCTGATGATGGCGAAAATGAACAACAAACAAGCTCTGCTGAAGTTGGACCGTATTCTAACGAGCCTATTGCAGACGAAGAATGGTTAGAGGCTTACCGAAAAAGACAAAAAGAGAAAGAGCAAAGATTGGCAAATTTAAAGGATCGTCTCGCCGGAAAAGAAAGCCTTAGTAACTGGTATGTGAAATTCCCAAAGATGGGAACATATTCATTCTTATATATTTCAGGCAGATTTCTCTCTTTGTATATTATAGCGGTTGAAATTTTGTTTTGAGATATGTGACCACAAAGACACAACTATTGTTATTAATTGATAGGTGCTCTTGTGGTAATTGCTCTACAGCATTTTTGGAAAATGAAAATGAATGTGTGTGTTGTAAAGACTTTGATAGATGTGTGGAGTCCTTGTCAGACGAATGGGTAATTCAAGACATGTCTACTGCCCCAGAGTGTATTACACTACATCCGGCATTTTCCACTGTTTGCCTCGATAGATGGTCATTAAGATTATCAGCATCAAAGTACAGAACAATCGATAGGCAGTGTTATCGACAAACTGGTTCAGAGGAGGCGTAAGTAATATTTTACTTATATACCATTCCTTTGGTGCTAGCATTATTAGGTAAAGGTCAAGCAAAAGAAATGTAAATTATGGTTAATGTGATCCTATTTTTTTATATCTGTAGGTTCATGAGAAGTGTAGCATACCGCGAGTTTATTCATCTTGTGTATGACCGTGTTGGAAAAATGCGAATTCCTCTTCCTGCATGTGCATATCATGCAATAAGATCTAAATTTCAACCAAAGGACAGTAAAGAGCATTTTGTTGGTTTCCAGGATGATGACATGGATGATTAATTAAGTATTTATAATTATTCAAAAGCTTGTATAAATATAGATATTTATTTAAAAAATCAGGTCTGCATATTTTTTGGGCAATCTTTTACATATTTATGTCCTTTCATGGGATTTCTGCATGTTCTGCAACGCTTTAATGGCTGGGGATTCCTTGCTGAGGTTTCTGTCTCTGCATTCACTAAAACAAACATTAAACTCATTAAAACCCACCACTTTTTCAAGGTGGACTAAGATTGCTTGTTGTTAGTGCTGGTAAAACACAATCATAATGGGGCGAGCTGGGTTTCCAATCTCAATATGAAAATCTACATATAGATTCCTGAAAGTGATATACCTTGAATAGTCCTTGGAACCTCTTGCACAACCATTGATTTTCTCTTCTCCCGTGCTGCTGTTGCTTCACACCTCGGCTGTTTTTGAAGCATAGTGTTCATTGGAGCTGGTGTCATGATTTCCAGCTCCTTTCTAGCTTTCTAGCTTCTCAAAATCATCGGCCCGAAAATGCTGCGAGCAAAGTCTGGAGTTTGGCGTTGGCGACCATTTTGCACGCTTTGTTCGAACAAAAGCAATCCAAATTCTCCGTCTTTTTTTCTCCAAATCGTTATCTTCGGGGAATTTATGAAGGCCAATGTTGTTCGAAGGGTCTGGAAGATTTGAACAACCGCCAGCTACACATCTATTAGGCATATTTTCGCGTAAGATGTGAAATAATATGTATAGCGCCGTATATGTAAATACAAGATGCGAAATGAAGGTTCCTCGCGCTACGTCACAAGACCCAGGCCCTCGACACTCATTTTGCTCGGTCTAAATTTGGAAGCTATCCAGAATCGCTATATTTATTGTAATTTAGGCTCCCAGAACGTATCAAAAGCAACGCAATAGAGGTTCGTTTTAAAAAAATATGATTATTAGAGGGGTTTACTTCTTGTTTATCAAATAAAAAAAATTGGGTGATATGCACTTTAAAAGATAAATCCCTCTTTACGAAATTAAAATTGAATTTCTAAGTTTGATTCGTGTAGCATGGCACCTAATTTATAGGTGTAATGCCAACATTTTCTTGAACATGCATATCGCAAAATGAACTCCTTTAAAACAAAATACGTTGATTCAAAATATGTTTCATACAGCGGATCCGGAGTAAGGTTATTGCCGAAATTGACTACAATATGTGGCGTTGCGCTGGTGGTTCAGTGGTAGAATTCTCGCCTGCTACGCGGGAGACCGAGGTTCGATTCCCCGCTAGCGCATGAATTTCCCCTCGGATGCATTGTCCTAATCAATAACACCCATCCTATGGTTTCTTTTTCGCGCTTGCTGTGTCGTACCAAAATCATTAGAAGAAACGGGTAATTTTGAAATAAAACGACATTGGTACGTAAGGCATAGCAAGTTCCCATGTGGTCTAGTGGCTAGGATATGGCGTTTTCACCGCCATGGCCCGGGTCCGATTCCCGGCGTGGGAAACCCGTTTTTTTATTATGGCCGGCAAAAAGAGATTACGGCAATATAATCAACACTTGAATGAGTATTATTCCAGGACACGAACACTGACAAGGATAGGAAGAATCGCCATTCATCGAGCTTGTTAAAAAGAAAATTGATATTTTGAACGAATAAAGTTGTGTCGCATTTTCGAGAATTTAATGTGTTTTTAATTGATTGAATAGGGGAAAAAATATGGAGGATGCGGGCATCGATCCCGCTACCTCGCGCATGCAAAGCGCGCGCTCTTCCATTTGAGCTAATCCCCCAGAGCCACCGTAACGCATTGAAATCTATTGTTACAATGACACATATCTATTTTGTTTTTTTTTACATTTGATTACCCAAACAAACTATTTGCGAAAACCGCAAAATGAAAGCATTATTTTCAATATTTTGCAGACATACCAATAAGCTAACCGGCAACGTCTTTCAAATTAATTCCTGCCGAAACCCGGGATTGAACCAGGGACCTTCAGATCTTCAGTCTGACGCTCTCCCACCTGAACTATTTTGGCATACAGCTTAAAACGTGTATTCATATTTCAGGCGTTTTCGATCATCCACCTAGTTCCCTTGCCGCACACAAACACGGAGCATACTGGGCAATTTCAAAATGTCAGGTTGTTATAAATATGCATACATATATTTAATAAATTTCTACTCCTCTGCCAGTGTATAAATTTGACTTAGGGAAGTAAAATATTTTTCAAAATCTTTTCCATGGAACTGTCCTTCGAACGGGATTTGAACCAGTGACCTAGGGATGTTTGTTTACTTATCTACAGTCCCCCGCTCTACCAACTGAGCTATAGAAGGCTGATAACGGCCAGCTTCTTTATTGATCAATCAATATTTGTCATACAATAGTTAATAGAATTTTGATAATATTATTAAAAACTTAGGTAGGAATATTATTTTTAAAATTTTTACGAAAAACATTCAACGGAAAGCCACGCGGTGTTTTGAAGCATGATTTGAGATCCAAAGCACAATATTTTGGAGGATGCGGGCGTCGATCCCGCTACCTCGCGCATGCTAAGCGCGCGCTCTACCATTTGAGCTAATCCCCCAATTGCTGCCTTCCTTAAATCTTTTCAGCAATTGTTAAAAGATAAATCCCTCTTTACGAAATTAAAAATTGAATTTCTAAGTTTGATTCGTGTAGCATGGCACCTAATTTATAGGTGTAATGCCAACATTTTCTTGAACATGCATATCGCAAAATGAACTCCTTTAAAACAAAATAAGTTGAATCAAAATATGTTTCATACAGCGGATCCAGAGTAAGCTTATTGCCGAAATTGACTACAATATGTGGCGTTGCGCTGGTGGTTCAGTGGTAGAATTCTCGCCTGCCACGCGGGAGACCGGGGTTCGATTCCCCGCTAGCGCATGAATTCCCCCTCGGATGCATTGTCCTAATCAATAACCCCCATCCTATGGTTTCTTTTTCGCGCTTGCTGTGTCGTACTAAAATCATCAGAAGAAACGGGTAATTTTGAAGTAAAACGACATTTTTACGTAAGGCATAGCAAGTTCCCATGTGGTAGTGGCTAGGATATGGCGTTTCACCGTCATGGCCCGGGTTCGATTCCCGGCGTGAGAAACCGTTTTTTTATTATGGCCGGCAAAAAGAGATTACGCGCAATACAATCAACACTGAATGAGTATTATTCCAGGACACGAAACACTGACAAGGAAAGGAAGAATCGCCATTCATCGAAGCTTGTTAAAAAAGAAAATTGTTATTTGAACGAATAAAGTTGTGTCGCATTTTCAAGAATTTAATGTGTTTTTAATTGATGAATAGGGGAAAAAATATGGAGGATGCGGGCATCGATCCCGCTACCTCGCGCATGCAAAGCGCGCGCTCTTCCATTTGAGCTAATCCCCCAGAGCCGCCGTAAAGCATTGAAATAATTGTTGCAATGACACATATCTATTTTGTTTTTT